AGAAGTAACCCGACCGGGTTAGGGTTTATACCCGGCCAGGTCCAATCCCAGTCCATTTTTTTTTTAAATGTGTAAAAATAAAATAAAACAAGTAACCGTACCTTGCTTGGGTTGCCTCCCAAGAAGCGCCTTAGTTAACGTCGCGGCACGACGCCATGGTTGTGTTCAATCGTTCAAGCTTGGATCGTGATAACTCATCTTCTTCAAATTTTCACCCGGGTGACTCTTATAGAAAGTCTCAGTTTTTCGACCCTTTATTTTGACCTTTCCGGGATCAAATATCCAGATTTCTATCGCTTCATATTGTGAGAGTGTTGGTCCATGATTTTCTTTAAGCATGGTCAATGGAAGGGGATTTGATCCGGGTGGTATAAGAGGGAGTATGAAATATTTGTGTAATCCCACCGTTATTCCTTGCTTATTTGTGAACAAAGAGAAGTCTAATTTATACTCACAATTGCTGAAAATTTCATAGATATCTTTGTCCTTCTCCACCCTTTGTGTTTCCCTTAGAGCCTCAGGAAATGGTGGCATGATCTCAGGAATGGCCGGTGGTTGAGTTGAGTTTTGAGGTTCCTCCTCCGGTTGAGCTTTCTCCGTAAGCTCCTCTTCTTCCTCCTCCTCGCCCATGTGGTTCACAATGCTTGGCATTTGTTTCAACTGATTGTCCAAGTTCTGTTCGTTGGACACTGCTTCTTGCGAGCATTGTGACATATTTTGTTGCATATTTGTCACATTGATAGTGAGAGCTCGGATCATGTCTTCAGTGGACATGCTGGAATAAGAACATGAGTATGGGCTATATGTGTTGGAGAATGAATCATACCTCTCTTGGAAACCAACACCATTCCTTTGTTCAAAGAATTCTTCTCGAAGCTCTGGGCAAAAATTCGTAAGATGCCTTTGTGACATGCAAATATTGCATGTATGTATATCTTGAGATTTTGAACATGAGATAAACTCCTTTATTAGAGAAGTTAAGTCGGAAATTTGACTCTCTAGGGATGATGTGTTGGTATCCATTTACTCATGCAAGCTCAAAAAATAGAAAAGTAAGATTTTTCTTTATAATTTTTTTTTTAATTTTTTTATGAGATAAAATAAAAAGAAAAATAATTGCCTTTCCCCGGCAACGGCGCCAAATTTGACGAGCACTTTGTCACGGTGCGTCAAAATAAATTCAATACTAACACTTATACGTAGTATAGCGTAGTAGAGTTCGTATCCACAGGGAAAGTGTTGGTCCCGGTTGTACTGGATACAGTCTAGAGGGGGGGGTGAATAGACTGTATTGGTTTTTAGCTTTTTAAACTAAGTACCAGATTTTACAGAATAGCCTGTTCTGTTGACAGAACAGACTGGCAGCGGATGGGGTTCTGGTAGGGAGTTCTGTTGATTTAGCCTCAGAGAAGCAAAGGCAGTAGGTCTTCTGTTAACTCGTAGGACAAGTTCTGCTGAACACAGATACCAAGTCTGAGGAGTTAAACAGTTCTATCTAAGTGCAAATATTAAAGCAGTAAGTAAATGATACCAGGGATTTTTATAGTGGTTCAAGGAACAACTTGTTCCTCTAGTCCACTGTTCCACTAAGCTGTAAAAACTTCCGTTTACAAAGCCTTAGTCCTAGCACTTAAGAAGCACTCCACGTCTTCTTCAAGCCTAGATGTCTCCTGGGATGCACTGCCTGGCTTCCTTTAAGACTGGTCCTTTCTTTGAGCTTCCTGGAAGTATCACTACTTCACTACTCCAGTTACTTGTACGTCCTTCTTGTAGCAAGAAGAGTTTCTGTTAACACAGGGGTTCCTCCAACTAGCTTCGTTACAAATGATTTGTATGTGATGAGCTTGAAGAGTTGAAGAACACTTGGAACTTTGCTTGAGTTGGAAAAAGTATTTTTCCAACTTCTGCCTTCTCTTGTAGAAGATAATGAGTTTGAATCTCAAGGAGGCTTTTTGCTTTTCAGAGTTTGAATATCTTGTATGAAGAGTTGTAGCAATGGTTAGCAAAAGTTTTAAAGTTATCCGGTTGTTCTTCGTAGTGTATCTTTTATACTGAGGTTGTCTTCCCGTTGGAGGAGTAGGAGGACAACCCCATTAAATGAGTGATCAGTTGACTTGACTAGTAGAGCCCGGTAAAGTTGGCGGGTTACTATTTTGGGATAAAGTATTCCTGACATTGCGGCCAATCATCTGTAATTACTCTACGGAGCATGGGGTGCATTAAATGAGCATTTAATGCGTGCACTGTAGCTTTTCCGTTTCATACTCCTAGCCGTTGAAGGAATCTTTTAGTTGACTTCCCGGTTCTGTGAAATTCTTCTAAGTGTCAGACCTTCTGGTGTCTTTAACTGAGAGTAGAACAGAGGAGGTCTGGAGCACTTCTGTTGAGAGTATATCCAACAGAGACCCATAAGGGTTTCTATCAGAGTAAAGACTAACAGAGACCCTGAGGTCTTCTGTTCTGGAGCAGAGAACCAAAGGTCCTTTGTTTCAATAATGCCTTACGAGGGTCTTCTGCTCTTGGAGCCCTTCTGCTCAGAAGGTCTTCTGCTCTGAAGGCATTCAGCCAAGTCGATTACTCTAAGAACTTTACAAATGAAAATTCTAATACATTAGGTCTAAATATGGGTACTCTAAATTCCTAATTATTCTAGCATCATCAAAATCTAGATACAAATATTCCTTACAGAAAGGAATAATTCTCTTTTTATGATACTTAGTAAATAAAAAGGGAAGATTTGGATTGAGTGATTTGATTTAATTAAGACCTAAGATGAACAACCTATATGTGTTTAATTCAAAGATAAAAAGGACTTGGCATTGCTACTTTCCACTTGTTGATATATTTTAGTCGATCATTGTTATATCTGTAACTTCTTCCCTCTCGAATACTCAATCGGGGAGTATATCCACTTCATCGAGGGTAGTTATTAACAACGACCGTTCATTAATAACCCTTACTATTAATCAAATATAGAACAACACCTTATACCGATTTAATAGTAGCATTTAATCTTTCTAACTCCTTGATGAAATCAATTGAGATTGATAACCTCAACACAAGCGGTTTCGGTTTAACCAATAAAATTAATCCCTCTTAAGTTAATTAACCACGACCGTGCATTAATAAACCGAAGTTACTTACTTGTGAAACCATCAACGATTAACCATCGGTTCGTTGATCGTTTCGAGTAATAACTAATATATGAAACAAAACTAGTTGATCCTTTAAGTAATGTTCAAAATATTAATATGAAATAAGAGTAGGGATTAATTAATATTCAAGGAAAAATATTATTAAAGAAGATGAATCCTACTATAATTAATATCAAGATGTTAACTAATTGTCATCTTAGCAACACTCCTCAATATTAATATAGAGGAAGAAAACACCATTCTAACTAATGTCGAGATGTTAACTAATTGTCATCTTAGCAACACTCCCTGACGTGCACTCGTCGTTAGGTGCACTCAAAATAATTAATCAATACAACACTAATACGTAGTATAGTGTAGTAAGGTTCGTATCCACAGGGAAAAGAATACTTTTCTTTTATATAAATAATAACAAGGGGGGTTTAGATTTGCTTGGTTTAATAACACTAAGATAAACGACCTATATGAGTTTAATTCAATGAGATGGGGACTTGGTTTTGCTTTTATCCACTTAATGAAATGTTCGTCGATCCCGGTTATATCTTTAACTATCTTCCTCTCGAATACTCAATCGAGGAGTATATCCAGTTCATCGAGGGTAGTTATTAATAACGAGATGCGTTCATTAATAAAACTTACTATCGAGTCAATATAGAACAAGCGCCGTATATTAACTTGATAGTAGCAATAAACTTAAGATGAAAACGATTGAGATTGATAACCTCAACACAAGCGGTTTATTGGTTTAATCAATATAATTAATTCCCCTTGGCATATTAACCATGAGATGCATGCATTAATATCCCAAGTTTACTACCGTTGAAAGAACCGGATTAATAACAAGCGTATTAACCGATTGATTCTAGTAATAATTAATATGAGAAACAATACTAGTTGATACTTTAAGTAATGTTTAAGATATTAACATGAAATATGAATAGGAATTAATCAATACTCAAGGAAGAATATTAAAATATATGAATCCTACTATGATTAATATCAAGATGTTAACTAATTGTCATCTTAGCAACACTCCCCAATATAATCATAGAGGAAGAAATAGCTATTACTATAACCAATGTCAAGATGTTAACTAATTGTCATCTTAGTAACACTCCCCAACTTTGATATAGAGATAGTATTTTGAAAGAAAGAATTAATATTCAAGGAAGAAGATTAAAGAAAATAACTCACAACTTACAAATTCATTAAGCTTCAAAGTAGCAAAACCAAGATGGAAGAGTTTAGCTCCTCATTTGGAGACTAAACATGATGAAAAATATAAAGAAAGAGCTATTCTATACTGAGCTTAGATGTACAAGGGATTGAATCCTTTTTGTGAAGGAAAGGAGGTGTATTTATAGGTTTTTGGGATGGGATTTGGGTACTCGATCGGGTATATACATGGTACCCGATCGAGTATGTGTGTAACACCCGATCCGAGGCATACTCGACCGGTTTCAGGCTATTTTCTAAGTGTATACCCGATCGAGTATATATGAATACCCGGTCGAGTATGCTTAGAAAGTGGTATTCGGGCTATACTCGACCGGTTTCAGGCTAGTTTCTAAGTGTATACCCGATCGAGTATATATGAATACCCGGTCGAGTATGCTTAGAAAGTGGTATTCGGGCTATACTCGACCGATCTTCGTTTGCAATTTAAAGGCATACCCGACCGGGTATGTCGGTCTACCCGATCGGGTATAGACATAGAATCGTGGCCAAAATCTTCCCTGCATGTTCCTTTGTCTTCGGATCTGATCCGATTTGAAGTTCCAACCTAATACCCGATCGAGTATAGCTAATACTCGACCGAGTATAGACCAAAATTCAGGATCTTCTTTTGTCTTTGAACTTTTGCACCTTCTCTTCACTTTTTGGGTTCACCAACTGTACTTTGGGTGACCAAAACCTGCTTAAGCTCAGAATATGTCTAATCTAACCTATTTACAAGAATTTAACAATCTAATCTATTACACCAAAAGTGTGTAATTTCCAAAGTAAAAGTCAAGCAAAACTAATTAAAAACATAAACATAGAAATGGAAATTACGAACGTATCAACTCCCCCACACTTAAACCTTTACTCGTCTCGAGTAAGATCAAATGTTTACAAGTGTCAATGTTTGTCCAAAAGTTCCACAGTTCAACAAAAAGATAATACAAACATAAAGACCACCAAGGATTACAAAAAATGAGTTTTAAACTCAAATCACAAAAGAGCATCTTGGGTTTAATGGCCTCCTAGTGTTGTCTTCTTTTCTCCTCCTCTCTTCTTCTTTATCTTGAATCTTCATATTCTTCATAAGGATACAATGAGTGCCTGCAAGAACAAACATTTCTCTCATATCTCTCATTTTGCCTAGGAGCCTTTTCAGGTTTTCATCCTAGCACCTCTTTTCATTTTCCATTCTCTCCAACTCACTCATTTTTTTATATAAGCCTTTTTTGATTAGATTGCCCATTTTGTTGGGTTTTCAACCTAACTAGCATTTATTTTCTTTTGTTTTTTTTTTTTTTTGAGTGTAAAAGTTCAAAAGAATTACATGCATAGTGCTAGGTACAAATGAGAATTACATACCATCATGAGTGTCTCCCCCGCACTTGAATCACGCACTGTCCCTAGTGCCCGCCTTCTCCTCCGTAGTAGCTCCCTCCAAAACCGCTCCCTTGGCCACCATCTCCCATGTAAGTGTCCCCGCCATCTCCGCCGTCGTACCCTCCACCATCGGAGCCAGATCCTCCAAAGTTACCCCAATGAGTGGGGTCATACCATGAGGGTGGTGGAGGAGGGTTCGCCATGGTATGGAAGGATCCCTGCTGTGCCATAAACGAGTACATAGGCCCGTAGAACCTATGTTGGTCTTCCTCATACCGGTGTCTATCGGCCTCCCGGAGCTCCTCCAAACGTTGAAAGCCGGCCCTTTGCTCATCCTCCAATCTTTGAAAACTGGCTCTTTGCTCTTCCTCTAATCGGTTGAGCCGGTTGTCCATTTGAGCTATTCCCGTAAGAAGTTGTTGTTGAACCTCCAGAAGTTGTTGAAAGAAGTCGGGTGGTGGAGGGTTTTGGCTTTGTTCTGGGAAATCATGGCTCATGGTTGGATGGCTATGGAGTTGCTCGTAGGGCTCGTCATCGGGTTGGTTTTGGGGGAGTTCCTGTTCCGGTTCTTGAAGATGTGGTGGGAGGGCGTTTGGGAAAAGGTAATGTTGATCCGGCCTGCCTGTTTTGAAGTGGAGTTGGGGGAGTTCTGGGTTGGGCAAGAGGAAGTATTTGAGGGGTTTGGGGTGGATGTGCCAGTTGTACATATTTTTGGGCCTTTCTTCACCATAAACGGTGTGTGAAAAAGAAGTACAGCCCGAGTGGCCTAGCCAAGATATGTTCATTAAACAGTAGTCGGGTATAGGAGAGTCATCCGTATACCCGAACTTTGTGGCCAAGTGCATAATCACCCCGCCCACTACGATAGCACCCTTTGCCACACTTTCCTTCTTTAGATGAGCCCACATGAGATTACAGAGGTTGAAATCCACGTGGATACGGAATAAGGCAACCGAGATGAGGCATACATCCCCCATCCTTGTATGATGGTGGTTGGGACGTCCAAGCAAGGAGTTGGCAAGGAATTTCAAAAAGAGGCGTAGGACTGGATGTTGGACATGACTAATGTATAGTTGGGAGGAGCTAAATTTGGTCTCCCCGGTCATCTTGGTCCATAGGGTGTGGCCGAAGGCGGTATTGTCGGATATAGACTTTTGGTACGGGACCGGAATACCAAAGTGTTCGGAAAACTCAAGTTTCGTGATGGTGTGATTGTGATTAAACAATCGAAACCTGAGTTTATCATCTCTAAAGTCCTCCTCATTGTTCTCAAAGTGCACCGAGCTTAGGAATTCATAGATAATTTTTTCATTTGAGTTGTATTTCATTTTGAAAATTTTATCCATATGCAACTCATGAAAAAATTTCTTCATTATTGTGTATACTCCTAATTCCTTTAGAGCATCAAGGCATAAATAGCGGGAAGGTTTGACTTGCCTTTCAATTGTGGACAAGAAGCGTGTGCGTTGTTCGTTGTCCACGAAAAGGATGTCCTCGTAGCCCGGGATGATTGTCCTAGTGCTTGAGCTCTGCCCTTTCTCTTTCCTTGGAGCCATTTGAAGTGATTTTGGCCTTTGAAAACCGAAATTGGAATGGTGGGGTAGGGTTTTTCGGACCTCTGAAAGTTGGGGGAGAATGGGATTGTTGGGTATGAATGTGTAGAGGAGGATGAGGGGAGTGTTTTGGCGTTGGAATGGGTGGATTTGGTGAAGATTTGGAAGAGATATGGTAGAGAGAAGGTGTAAAAATGGGGTTTGGGCGTTTTTTGTTCGAGATGGGGTTGGGAATTTGGGGAAGATGAAGTGTTTTGAGGCTGATTTGGGGTTATAAGACCCGTATACCCGATCGAGTATGTGATGGTACTCGGTCGGGTATGGCTGGAAAGTGAAGTTTTTGAGCGGCCTGCCTCCTGTACTCGATCGGGTATGGTGGGGTTACCCGGTCGAGTATGCTTAGAAAATGGTATTCGGGCTATACTCGACCGATCTTCGTTTGCAATTTAAAGGCATACCCGACCGGGTATGTCGGTCTACCCGATCGGGTATAGACATAGAATCGTGGCCAAAATCTTCCCTGCATGCTCCTTTGTCTTCGGATCTGATCCGATTTGAAGTTCCAACCTAATACCCGATCGAGTATAGCTAATACTCGACCGAGTATAGACCAAAATTCAGGATCTTCTTTTGTCTTTGAACTTTTGCACCTTCTCTTCACTTTTTGGGTTCACCAACTGTACTTTGGGTGACCAAAACCTGCTTAAGCTCAGAATATGTCTAATCTAACCTATTTACAAGAATTTAACAATCTAATCTATTACACCAAAAGTGTGTAATTTCCAAAGTAAAAGTCAAGCAAAACTAATTAAAAACATAAACATAGAAATGGAAATTACGAACGTATCACTCCCCAACATTAATATAGAGATGATATTAAGGAAAGAACTATTAATTAATATTCAAGGAAAGAAGTTAAGAAAATAACTCACAACTTTAATAATCAACAAGCTTCAAGAGCAACACCAAAAATGGAAGTTTAGCTCCTCATTTGGAGGCTAAACATAGCTAGAAAATATAAAGAAATGCTATTCTAAACCGAGCTAAAGAGTATGGAAGAAGGGATGATTTTTTGTGAAGAAAAAGTGTGCTATTTATAGGTGTTTTTCAACACCTTTGGCCGGGTACCCGACCGGGTATAGTACTTACCCGACCGGGTCCGGTCAAAATCAGATAATCCGCCATGTTCTGGTGATCTTCGCACGTCGTTTTGTCCCGGGTCACATCTGACCCGACCGGGTCAAGTAGGGGACCCGACCGGGTCCAGTGACTTTCTTGGCAATTTCGTCTGTTAAATCACACCCGACCGGGTGGTGGTTTCTACCCGGTCGGGTTTCACTCCTGGGCAGTCAAATTTCTTGTTTTCTTCTCTTCAAAGTCTTCCTTTCCGACACCACAAATCCTAACTATACTTTACAACTTATAAATGAGAATTAAAATACGATTACAACTAAAATCACACAAATGTTTACAAACTAAATAAAACGGTAAACAATACACACAAATCAATCATAAAAATATACGTTTATGCACTACTAATTAGTGCATATCAGAGATCAAGGTGCTATTTAGGTCATCGACGAATTCATTTTTAGTCGTCAGTATTGCTCGTTTCATCAGCGGGTATGGGTCATTGATGAATTCGTTTAGGTTTGGGAACACCATGTTAAGCAATCTGTTCAAAGATTCAGTTTCTGTTGTGTATGGAATAAGAAATGATTCTGGAATTTCAATACAATCTCCGACAACAGTTTTTTCGGTTCCATTACCCACTCGCATCAAGTATTCTGAAAAAGATGGATCTTCTTTACCTCGCATATTTTGGGTCAACACTAATCTTTCAACTGATGGCCAAATAGTTTCTGATCTGACTAAGCTAGCTACAATTAAATCTCTTCTGCTCCCAGCCCTAATTACGGGCAAGGTTTGTCGAAAATCACCTCCAAACACTACCACTTTATTGCCAAATATGCTATCATAATTTGTGATGTCTCGGAGTGTGGTGTCAACATTTTCGATCGTTTTCCGATTGGCCATTGTTGCTTCATCCCACAAAATCAACTTGCAGTCTTTTATTAATGTTGCTTCAGCACTTTGCTTTCCGATATTGCACACAAACCTATCATCTGTGTTTATCGGTATTTTGAACCTAGAATGGGCTGTTCGGCCACCGGGCAAGAGTGAAGCTGCAACACCAGAGGTTGCTGTTGCAAGTGCAATTTCACGTTGTGATCGTACTTTTGCCAAGAGACATCGATACAAAAAAGTTTTTCCGGTACCGCCCGGCCCATCTACGAAGAATACTCCCCCATTACCAGAGTGAACACGACTTATGATTGTGTCGAATGCTGCTTGTTGAGGTGTATTCAACGATTGAATAGCTAATAAGTCAACTTCATTAGGCAGCAAACTCCGTTCTGCTTCTATCTCCTTTTGAACTCTTTGCTCTTTCGTAATACCAATATGAAAAGGGACCAATGAAAAATCATTGATATTCCTTCCAATGGTTGCAAGTGCATCGTTCATTTGGAGGAGGCAAGTGTATTCTGCGTCGAGGTTATTTGTTGAAAACCGTAGTAGATCCTCACATAGGTGTTCTTTATATTGCAGCCACAATTCACGTGGCTGAGCAATATCACAAAATGCGAGTAGTGTTGCAAATAGTTTACGAAAGCTGAAAGGCATTTGCCAACACATTGCTTCTTCCATACATTGTTGTATGACTTGATCGCTTTGTAATAACCCCAACTTTTGTGCAGCTTCTCTAAAAGTTGCAGTGACATCTGAACCCACCGTTTTAAGGTGTTCGTATGACTTCGGTGCTTTTACATTCATCAATAGCAACCGCAAATAGTACCTATCACCTTCTGCGGGGTTCACACTCACAAGCCTCCCAATCACTTCCCTTTTCTTACGTGGAGCCCATTTCTTGTCTTTCTCGACCCAAACAAAGTACTCTGGAAAATGGACATACAACAAATTTATCCTCTTAGCTGTTTCATCTGTTGTGTTCATTGAAAAGAACTGAGTCAACATTGTTCTTTGGCTCAATTCATTTTCTACAAGGTTAGACAACTTTTTCTTGTTATCAAACCTCATATATTGGTAGTTCTCCAAATGAATAGGCAAATGTACAACAGATGGTTTGATTTCTGAAAGGGAGAAAGCATATATTCTCCAAGCAGCTTCAGGAGGGGACACCCACCGAGCTTTTTGGAAGTCTTCAATTTCATTAATTGCATCATTCTCTTCCCCGGGGCATAAATTGATTGTAACTCGATCATGGCCTTTGTAAATGTATTTGTAAATGTACTTGACACATTTGATACGGGCACATATCTCAACATTAATATGACAGTCATACTTTGACAATAGATAAGGGTTATAAGGGACGACCCATCTATTATCCAAACGTTTTCCCCGTACTGTAAGACATCTTGAGTTTCGCCAACGCTTATAAATGGGATATGAGTTATCACCCAATATTGTTGTCTCAGAATAATCTCTAGGATATTTATTCTTGCAAACTGAGACACCCATTTTCTTGGTCATGCAAGGATTGTCAGGGTTAATGGAACCACAAGGACCGTGCATCATATGTTTTGCTACTAAAGCATGCAATGCTGGTGTTTCCACTGGATCTGGTATTTCAGCACTGATAAGTGTATCAATTTCAACGCTTGTACGGTACTTATGGTTTCTCCCTAGTATCAATAAGAAATGAGCATGTGGGAGGCCTCTTTTTTGAAATTCAATCACATAGGTATATGCAATTACTGCACCTAACAACTTTTTCTTTATGAGGTCAACCTTTAGTTCTTCTATCTTCGCTCGAAACACCCTTGCAATCAAATCTGGTCTATTTTGAGCCTCATCATTATGTTGCAAAAGGTTTTTAATTTCCGGCCAATTCGGATTACATGTCATTGTTAGGAAAATGTCTGGCTTCCCGTAATGTTGGACCAAAGCCATTGCATCCATGTACCTCCTACGCATGTCTCTGGGCCCCCCAATAAAAGAAGGTGGTAGAATTACCCGCTGCCCAACATTTGAAGCACTTGTTTCTCCCATAGCGATACTATCCATTAACCCTTGCATGCTTTCGGTTCGAATATCACGTTGCTGTATTCGGAAATAGTCCAGCCTTTGTGTCTCAATCTTAATATACATGTCCACAATGAATTGTTGAAAAGGTCTACCAGAATGGAGAATTGCAGAGTCATTATTTGGTCGAATTTGAAAATGGTAAGCGTAGTATTCTCTACAGGAGACGGTGTTTCTTTTATTTGTTGTAGCAGAATTGAAATTCTCACTTTCAAACAAAACGTCAATGGAGGAAAATTGATTAGGGTGTAGAGATTGTGGACATGTGCGAGAGCTTGGGTGTGTTTTTTTAGGGAATTTTTGTATTCCTTCATGCCAACCACTTTCACCTTTTGGGAACAACAGAGGGTATTGTAATGGATCGTAACAGCCATAATAGTATTGTACAGAGTGTGATCTACCACTTTTTGCGTACACTCTTATATCACGGCTGTTTTGTGAGCCACAATCTCCTTCGTCTATCCAAATTGCAGCTACTTGAGAGGCGGTTGGTTTATTGAACACGCGTTGGTCAACATGTGTATTTGACCGTATCACAATATTATAATCTTCAAGACTTGATACATCTTGAAGAGTTCTAAAAAATTGTGAGTACGGATTGCTTTCTAGGACACTAATAATGTCCTTTACAACACATGCATCCATGCGCTCAGCTCCGTTGATCCTGTTTTCGATTTCATGCTCAGTATCGAAGAAATAAAGTTGGAGATTTTTGGGGGGTTTGTCGGTCGGTATCAAATCATTGATAAAATGGTACATTTGACCTTGCACCTTGAACGTATAAATCCCCTTGTTCCGCTTTGATAATTCCCTATCATAGTTGTGGATGCCTAAGGAAGTAAATGCAAATGTGTTGTTATATGTTCGAACACATGTTTGAAAATGGCGAGCCGCTTCATCTTTTTCACAAAAGTACCGTTTTAGAAGGGCTGGCATTTCATTCGACACCAACACTACTTGTCCAGTAGAGCAACAAAAATCAGGGGGCTCATATTGAAATCGAATAGCTTCGCAATATTGACATGGCATACAATCTTTAAGAATAAAACTCTGTTCTGGAAGCCGCAGGTGAATAATATTTTGTGTGGAGCAATCTCCGAATTGTGGAGTATGTGGTGATATTTCTTCATGAATTGTATGGAATGGAGGAACAGTATTTGGTGCTTCCGTCTCGATAGAATCTTGAAGCGAAGAACCGTATGACATTGGTTGCATACCAAGGGAAGACGCTGGACGATTGGAATCTATTGGAGCAATATTCATTCCATGGTATGTCATCGTACGATTGTTTGAACGTGTTTGTGAATTTGGAGTAGCATGACATTGATGGATCCAAAAATAGTAGGAAAAGATCAAGTCAGTTGTGCGTTTGCACGACACAATTCAAACGAAATGGACAAATTAAATAATGTCAAATCATACCCGAACGAGCGTTTCCCGTTCGTAACGGGATAGATGCATTAAATTTGTTTCTACGACGTTGATTTAGATCGTCTAACATCTTTCTTTTCTTCTCAGGGTCCATTGATGCATACGCATTTCTCCTCTTCAAGTTCATCTCTGCTCGACGACTTTCGTTTGAAGCATATCTCTCCCTACGTCTTTGATTCTTCTGAAGTCGGCTACTCTCAGGAGTGTTAGAAGGCGTGGTATTCATTTTGTGCATGCACTATAATTATTTAAATGCAAAAGTGTTATATATTAAAACTTTTATATCATAAGCAAAGAGAATGAATTAGAGGAAGGTGGTACATGGCAAGTTCCTTCCATTTTTTGGGTAGATGATTTTTTAAAAATAAGCAGTAAGGATTTGTAAACTACGAATCTCTATTTAAGTAACATGATTGCAAATTTACACTTCATAGAAATGAGATAAAACAAATTATATATGATATATAAACCTAACTCGTTTGTATCAATGTAAATAGACTATCCAGACCATTTGGGGAATTGTGATGCGCTTGCTCGCTTTCTCTATCCTTTCAATTAAAGGATATTCTCTTATACCTTAAACAAATTTAAACCTAGTTTCATTATTCCTAAAAGAGTAACTCTCAGTTTCTGAAACAATCTCACCCTTTTTCACTCATTTTAACCCAAATGTCAACCATGTACTCTAAATTGTTGAGTCAAATCAAACATAATCTTAGGAAAAAAAATAAGAATTCTGTTAATAAATATTGATAGGGGATGAGTGATACACTCAAATATGTGGTATTTTCAAGGGGGAAAGCTGATTTTGTAGTGGCTATGTGATAGAAATTGTAAAGATTAACTTTGGAACATCATTTCGCAATGCGTGTCTAACAAAATCGTTGTATAAAAATAGAAAGTTAACTTCAATAAAGTATACATATTTTTTTATGTTGACTATCAATGTTTAATTCTCATTTTATTTAAAAAAAATTACTAATCCAATTTCAATATGTTAATGGGGAAAATTTTGAATTTTAAGTAAATATATTTATAACAAGATGTTACTGATGAAAAGTGCAAAAATAATCTTATAGTATTGATTGCTTGAAATGTAGTTTTAAAGTTGACTGTAATAGGACTTTATCCCTACAAAAAAATCTATTAAAATCAGTGTTTTGTGATCCCTAAAAATAAGATAGGCTCGTTCTAAAGTTAGGGGTGGCTTTACATTTTCTTAGAAATTTTCTGTTCAAAAAGAAAACTATCAAACATTCTTTTGATGTAGGTGGCCTTGCACAAGTTAAATGAACCACATTCATGTACATCATTATATACATTAAAAAGAATTATTGCTTCCCATATGATTAAGCAAAGAAGATAAACAGCTAATAATGCTATTAACCAATTTTTGAGGGAAAGATTTTTGAAAATCTTAACTAAAATAGCAGACAAGCTACAGATAAATACAATGGAATGTGGAAAATTATCTTACCTCCAGATGAAACTCGTTCAGCTCAAACTGCAAACGATCTCTCAAGCCTAAAATGATTTTACAAAGTACATAGAAGATGAGTAAGATGACTGATTGAAGGATGGAGCTTTCACTAATAGTCGGGGTTTGTTCGAAAAGTTTATGATTCAATTAGAGTGAATAAGCATTTCCTAGATAAAGCAGTTCTTCCTTTCATTCAAGCATTATTTAACTTTTAAATACATCATATACCAAATGACCAAATTTGAGAAGAGATAAAAATTAGCCAGGGATGAGATCCTCAAAAAAAAATCCAGCTGCCATTTGTATGTAAGTAAGCAATTTCATTTACAATATAAAAAAAAACATATCGTGGTGAATGAAATCTAGATTATGGAATTAAATCTAGAATTAGTATTTCGTGTGAAGATTTAGTCATTAAGTTCTATACAGACGTTACTCAACCAAACTATGGTTGCTTATGTATGTCTGTCAATCTTCCAACAATCTATGCATTTGTGTCAACTTCCTAGCATACTACAGATTTATAGCTATGCCTTCCAGTTCTCTTTCCCTATGAGATTAGTAATAGATTAACTAATGATTATCATCGTATGCTAGGTTGAAACTTTTATTTACACTTCACTTGATGAAAGATAATATAACTGCCATCAAAACTCGCTTCTGTGCCAAAAATAGAGGGAAAACATCATATTTACAAATCGTTTTTGTAACCAGACCTGCACAAATACTTTATTTCCGATATTAAAACGAAAGATAAGCATTAAAGAGAACAAAAGTCGTATTATCTTCACCTATATGTTTTAATGTTCTTTTAAATGAAAGAGGTCAAGGCATATTAACTCAGTGGTTCAGAGAATTTAATCTCTTAATAGAGAAACTGAAATCTAACTTACTGTTTTTCTGCTCTATTTACTTATAAAAAATGACAGCTTTGTCACAAAGAGACACATTTTTCACATCTAGGGAATTCTTAGAATACAAACATACTATCATTTTGAAGAGTTAAAATGTTAGAGAAACATTAACCCAAATATGTTACATTAAATCTCACACGTCTTTGTAAATTAATATGAAAGATATGTTAGAGTTAAAATATGTTAAAATCTGTTTGTACCCAACTCTTTAATAAAGTCGTGTCAAGGCATATTAACTTAGTGGGTAAGAGAATTTAATATTAAAATACGTTAAAATCTGTTGTATCCACAAGGCATATGTTAGAGTTAAAATCTGTTTGTACCCAACTTTTTGCATCCTGGGCAGTGTGTCATATATCATAGAAACCTGAAATTACGAACAAATTCTTTAACTTAAAAGCATTAAAAGACTGCGCATACATTATTACAAACCCAACCACCCAACTAAACTACATGGACTAATGGCCAAGAGAAATTTAAGATAAAACACCTTCTTTACATTTTATATATGCTTTGGATGAGTTTTAAACAAAATACAAATTATAAAGTGCATCCTAAATTTAAGCTAATTTCATAGAATTGTTGAAATGACCTTTTTGTGTTTTTCTGCTGAAAAGCTACTTTATAGATAGTAAGTGGAAAGATGCCAGTGTAAATTTAAAATAGCACACAAAAAAAAACATAAAGAATAACTGTTACAAACCAATAAACACATTGCTATCGCTTAAGATAAATAGTTTAATTGGTTTTAGTTTCAAGTCCATTACCTTCTATCAGGAATAAAATACTAAGGCACTGAATGCTTATGAGTTTGAACGCCATGTTCGTTGCAAAACAAAGCACCTAAATAATCATGTGTACTCTGAAAATGGCAGGGCCATTTTTCAGACTGTCCAGGAGCGAAGAAGCACAAGAGAAATTCAACTGTACAAAATCAGTGTTCCCTTTTAAAATTAGGGAAATTCAACTGTACAAAATCACAATATTTTGAATCCGTCAATGAAACCAGGTTTACGTTTCCCTGCCTTCCTATGAATCATGTAAACCTGAAAATAATTTTACCACAGTACGCTTCCCTGCCTAATGCTGGATGTTAATTAAGCTAATACACTACCAACCTACTCATCAAATGTACGCATAATCATCGAATCTAGTTTCTATTATATTGGAGTAAATATAACTTGAATCTATCTACTAAACATTGGGCATTGATATCTAATTTTATCTTAATATTGTGATGATGAAACAGAGAGTATACATAAACACTCCTGAAATCAATCATTAAAAGTTTATGAAGGCTAATAAATGTATTTTTGAAGGAAAGACAGTCGAAAGGCCTAATTAAAGCAGCAGACACAAGTATAGATAGGTACAATGTAAATATGGAAAACTATTTTACCCCCAGATGAAACACACTGAGATCAAATTGCCAACAAACGTTCCAACCTAAAAGAAGGTTTTAAAAAGTACATAATAGGTTAAATCAATTAAACAATAGGTGGAAAGTGAAGTCAATACTAACAAAGTGTTCAATGAAATCGTATGCAACTGTCATGCCAAGTCATTGTCATTAAATTAGTTGACATTTGTTATTTCAGAATAGTTCAGAGCTATACATTTACTATACTTGAAGTCTTGAATAAACTAAAAATAACGGGGAGATGCCCCTAGATGGTATTCTATGCCTGTCTATTTAGTTGAAAGACAAAGAGTACCATGTCTCAGGAGAAAAGTAACTTTTCACATGGTCATGGAGTCAATCATCTATCGCTGTATTATTTTTTTTGTTAAAATAATCTCTATATTCAATATTTAGTCTCCCTAACTTTAATGATTTTTACCTACGTTGGTTTACTGTAAAGTTGTGTGTCATGTCTTTACAAGTACATTGTATGCCGTAAATGCTGCCAAGGTGCAATCTTCAACAAATTAGCAATCATCATTCCAGAATTTTTAAGAAAGTTTTTTTTTGAAAAGAAAAGGGTTTTGGAACCTGAAATGCATTTTACAGATTCCAATACACAAAAAATGTGTAGAATATTTCATGTATTTTAAATTTATGACCAACAAAATGATGTTGTATGACGTAGAAAGTTAACTTCAACAAAGCATACATATTTTTTTTGTTGATTATCAATGTTTTATTCTCATTTTATTTAAAAAATTTACTAATTCAATTTCACCATGTTAATTAGGAAACATTTGAATTTCAAGTAAATATATTTATAATAAGACGTTACTGATGAAAAGTGCAAAAAAATAGTACTGATTGCTTTAAATGTAATTTTAAAGTTGTATGAATAGACTATTTATGAAATGCAAACTCACATAAAGTCTAGACATTTTTTTCCTAATTTCACAAGAAAAAGTATTTTACAAAATATCTAATATATATATGACTAAAAAATAAGTGTAAAGTCAATTATACCAGGCTTTTCTTTCCTTTCTGTTCATAATTCTGTTTACTAAACAGGTTTGAAAGAAAAAGAGTAGAAGATATTTTATTCCAAAAGGCAGAACAAGGTGTCATGAATATCAATTACTAAATCATCCATACGTAGTAGCAGCACCACACATTAAAGACATTCAAGTCTATTAAAAAAGCATTTTTTTGTTGATTCCAAACAGCCACCACCACAAAACACTGGCCATTTCAAACAAAAGTAATCGGATATTTAGGTAAACAGCCACCACCACAAAATTTTCACATGCTTGCACATAAGATTGCACATAAAAATTTTCACCATCTGTTTTCACATGGTCCTGACATGTAAAATGTCCAGCATGCCTTCCAACCACTGAATCATGACTCTTTTAAGATCAAAGGAATCCTGTCAGAATGTTTAGGTAATAGTAACCTTCTTTTGTAATAGAAAAGTTTTTTCTGAGTTTAAAGTCTGGGAAAGTGTCTGGTTTTCCCAGAATTGTTTGAATGACCTTTTGATATTTTTCATCCTTGAGTAGCCCTTCTTCTAACCCTTCTCACCCCTTACAAGTCACTACTAATAAGCTACAAGCATTTTACTATGGCAATAGCATGCATTTATACTGTGTCTTGTACCAAACAAACCAACTACACAGTATTTCAGACACCAAATATAGGGAGAAAAATCAGGGCAGACCACCAATCAAAGTGAGGAGCGAATAAAATTAGATACACCGTTACAAATAACATGATTAAAACGATCTTAAGTTGATAAACTCAGAACGAACTGAAGATGCATTTTTTTATTTCATCTTTTTCCTTCACTCCCTAAGTTCTAATATTATCATATCCTATTCTCAAGTTTATTAAAAAACCATATTTTGTTGATTCTAAACAGCCACCACCACAAAACACTGGCCATTTCAAACAAAAGTAATCGGATATTTGGATGGCTTAAGCGACATAAACCAGAATATAACCTCTAAAAGCAGAGAAAGAGTTGCCAAGTTTAAGTAGTATACCTGAAAAATCTGACCTTTAAGTAGTATACCTGAAAAATCTGACCCCAATGATAAACTAATTAACAAGGGGTGAACTAATTTCTTTTTTTAAACAAACAGAGTCGTTATAATTAAAACAGAGGTATATATAAGTTACGTCCACTGCCAATAAATTAGTAGCTAACATTGATTTCAACTTGACAATGATAATAAAGTGCAGTCTGGAGTTAGTATTTATCAAAATGAATTATGTTTGATCCATAAAAGTCATGTGTGAACCAAAATCTGCCAAAAGAAAGCAGTACAATGCAATTTTTTTTAAACAATCAGATTAATACGTATAGATTAACTCACTAAGGCTTTGAAAAAGTGACAAATATAGTTATTAATATGATAGGCAAATTGTAGAAATCAAGTGTAATGGTGGATAAAGCAATAGCTTACCTTGGCCTGAAATGAACAAAAAATGAAACATGCACACTGGAAAACCATGTAAAAACATGGTTTTTTTCTTTTGATTTTTGTTCTATTATTTACTCAGAGTTGATGAATCAATGTAGTGATTGTTACCCCAAGGCAAACTGGGTATGTAGTTCAGGTTTCTAACAAGCCCCTTCAAGCCTTTGATTATCTAATATAAGTTGTAAGATATTTTTTTTAAAAAAAAATGCAGTGTACCACATAAATTACTTTATGTGCGATGGTAAAAGTCTTTGAATGCTTTTTATATACAAATCACTGTAACGGTCTTGCGTGCAACCTAAACATTAATTAAACATCTAGTAAACAATGTATATCTATTTTACATTCAAAGTCATTGATTCTCTAAGCTTCGCATGAAATCATTTTACGGAAAACTTTTAATGTGTAAATTATCAAATGAGCCATATAAAACGTGTAAATTATAAAATGAGCCATATAACTATATAGGAATCCGAAATCCTAACATTGACAAGTGCATTTTTTATTTCATCTTTTTCCTTCACTCCTTAAGTTTTAATATTATCATATCCTATTCTCAAGTTTATTAAAAAAAGCATTTTTTGTTGATTCCAAACAGCCACCACCACAAAACACTGGCCATTTCAAACAAAAGTAATCGGATATTTGGATGGCTTAAGCGACATAAACCAGAATATAACCTCCAAAAGAAGAGAAAGAGTTGCCAAGTTTAAGTAGTATACCTGAAAAATCTGACCTTTAAGTAGTATACCTGAAAAATCTGACACCAATGATAAACTAATTAACAAGGGGTGAAGTAATTTCTTTTTTTTAAACAAACAAAGTTGTTATAATTAAAAAAAGAGGTATATATAAGTTAAGTCTACTGCCAATAAATTAGTAGCTAACATTGATTTCAACTTGATAATGATAATAAAGTGCAGTCTGGAGTTAGTATCTATCAAAATGAATTATGTTTGATCCATAAAAGCCATGTATGAGCCAAAATCTGCCAAAAGAAAGCAGTACGAGGTATTTTTTTTAAAAAATCAGATTAATTGATATAGATTAACTCATTAATGTCTTGAAAAAGTGACAAATATAGTTATTACTATGATAGGCAAATTGTAGAAATCAAGTGTAATGGTGGTTAAAGCAATAGCTTACCGTGGCATGAAATGAACAAAAATGAAACATGCACACTGAAAAACCATGTAAAAACATGGTTTTTTCTCCTTTGATTTTTGTTCTATTATTTACCAAGGGTTGATGAATCAATATAGTGATGTTACCCTGAGGCAAATTGGGTATGTAGTTCAGGTTTTTAACAAGATGGAATTATCAACTATAGCCACCCATATAAGTTACGTCTACTGCCAATAAATTAGTAGCTAACATTGATTTCAACTGGATAATGATAATAAAGTGCAGTCTGGAGTTAGTATCTATCAAAATGAATTATGTTTGATCCATAAAAGCCATGTATGAGCCAAAATCTGCCAAAAGAAAGCAGTACGAGGTTTTTTTTTATAAAAAAATCAGATTAATTGATATAGATTAACTCATTAATATTTTGAAAAAGTGACAAATATAGTTATTACTATGATAGGCAAACTGTAGAAATCAAGTGTAATGGTGGTTAAAGCAATAGCTTACCGTGGCATGAAATGAACAAAAATGAAACATGCACTTTTATTATGTAGTACAGGTTTTTAACAAGCCCCTTCAAGCTGGCCATCCCTCAAATAAACGCAAAATGATAAAGCTTTTGACATATTACAAGGAACGGGAAGTGATATTGTCATATTACACTTTTATTATGTATATATATATCATTATTATAAAGCTGTTGACATAAGCTTGTAGACATGCTACTGCCTTTGTGTTGCAGAGAATTGGTTTTGACATAATCCTCAAGTCATGCTGACATTTAAACAAACACATAAATGACACTAATTTAAAAACAAAAATGATAAAGCAATAGCTTACTGTGGCATGAAATGAACAAAAATGAAAATGCACTTTTTTATGTAGTTCAGGTTTTTAACAAGCCCCTTCAAACTGGCTATCCCTCAAATAAACGCAAAATGATAAAGTTTTTGACATATTACAAGGAACGGGAAGTGATATTGTCATATTACACTTTTATTATGTATATATATCATTATTATAAAGCTGTTGACATAAGCTTGTAGACATGCTACTGCCTTTGTGTTGCAGAGAATTGGTTTTGACATAAGCCTCAAGTCATGCTGACATTTAAACAAACACATAAATGACACTAATTTAAAAACAGAAACTTCACAATGGCAAGATGGAATTATCAACTATAGCCACCCAAACTACTACCATAAAGAAACCTGGGAGTCTGTAAGTTCAATCAAAAAGAAATTTGGGAGGCGACAGATTTAAACAGAGAAAACCCCCAAAAATTCTCCATTGAACTAATTATACAAAAACAGTTGAAAAGTGTAGAATGAAATAGAGATGCGGAAAACAGAGGGATAATCACACAAATCTGCAGGCAAAGCAACTATAGAATGGAAAATTATTGAATATAGACGAAAAACTCACCAGAGTAGAACATGGCAGAAGCGGAAAATTGATGGAATAGCAGTGGCACGACATTTATAAGCAACCAAGGGAGGATGCTTGAGAAAACAAACTGTTCAAACGCCATTACTGTGGAGGAGGTATGTTGAGCGGTTGAAACGGAAGAGATGAGTCGAAGGGGCTCTGAGGATTTTTCAACGTATAAGGTAAAGAGTCGAGAAGGTCAGAAGGAATAGAGAAGGTCAGAACGAATAGGTTTGGCGGAGCTGTTTTTTTTCAATGTGTAACGCGAACATGTTTCCTCCGTAATAATAATAAGGACATAACAGTGGAAAGTGATGAGTTTAAAGATGTATAACAAAGTTAACAGAAAGTACATTCAGCTTATGCATCAAGAACAACAAACATTTTTTTTATGACAGTTTAACCCCTGACAATATTCAGGCTTATTATATTGTAGAGATAATACAATAAATTTTTTATATACACAATTTTAAGATAAATTGTGATTTACACGATTATTTTTCTGTATTAAATTTAGTTCGGTTTCCCTTATAATCCAATAATCATTTATATAATAGTTCGATAATTTGTTAAAATTACATAAGCAATATTGGTCTCATTTGATAGATCATGAAAAATAACAAAATTTAATATAAAATTTGTAAATATCGGATATGAAATAAAAAAGTTATTACAAATTTTAACAATAAAAGGAATAAAAAATAAAGAAGTCCGTGGTGCTTGCCAAAAACAAAGACCGGTATACGGTGCTCACCCTATACCGGTCATACGGTATAATTTGCCGTTTTCATACAAATAATGTTGCCACTTGTCAATTACTCCTCCAAAGAGTTATTCAAGGGTTTGATAGATTATATTATATAGATTAAAAGAACCATAACCATTTTATACTTAAAAAGTACTTCAACCAAATATAATTAACACAATAGTCTCATACGAAGTATTTAGAAAGTGTGTTGGGTTACAAATATGGCAATGTGTGAATTTTTGAATGGTTTTGAAAAAAATTGAAGTGATCTAATTTAATTTAATTTAAATGTAATGTTGCTATTAGTGTTTGTGTATAAGTTGTTACCTTTTGTTAAAGATGAATACAAACAATATATGATTTCATGAAGCTTTTACTTTTCAACATACTAGTATAGCACCCGTGCGATGCACAGTGCGAAAATTAATTATAAAACATGATAGAATATAATTAGTACTACGTATTTAATGCAAACATGTATCCATAATGTAAAAATATTAAATGTTAATGATATAAAATAAAATGTAATAATTTGACCATATATGTAATATTACAAAAGCATATATATACACAATGACAACATCCGATCCTTAGTCACAAAAGATTATATGATCGGTTAGCATGAATCGATACATAATATCGGATTCAAAATGAAGAGAAACATCGATAAAAGATAAAATATGATAAACAATAACGAAAAAGATAATATAAAACGGAGGAGATATTGTCACGCCCCAGACCTCATCTAGGCGCGTGTACAACCGCCGTATGACCAAGTGACGTCACTCGCAAGTCAACGTGTCTTAATCATACAAGGCGTCCATGAACATAATATATCCATACTCAGTAGTAAACATACACAACAACATCACAGTTTAGATTAATTGAATAGCGGAAATATTCAACAATTAATCATGGGCCACACATGGCCAAAATGTAGGCTCGCATGCCAAAACAATGTATTAATACAAAAGTATCCATGAGCATAGTTTATTTTTTTGAAATAGTAGAGGGAGCACGAACCACGTCTTCCTCTGGATTCTCTTCACCCGTGCAAAGGTGTAGATGACAAGCCTTAACTTCAACCTCAAATGGTGGGGCCCTCGAAGGGGTCAGTACAAGTACCGAGCGAGTAGCAGGCTAAATATAGAATAACTAGCGTTTCAAGTATAAGACCCAAACATAGGGTGATACTTATGTAAATAGTCTTTTCCCCCAAGTTAAGAAATACTTAGTAGTACATATACACTTGGAAAATACCCGATCCGTAGATCACCGTTTTATTTGGAAAAATATTAATAGTCAATATCCTTGACTAAAAACCCCAACCCACCCATACGCCTATGAGTGTATAGGACTCCTCCTTGTTCATACTTCAATATCATAATCTATGAGTTTTTGAGGATCAAAATCCTTGGGTACTCCACCAATTTATTATCCGAGTGTTAAGGACTTTAAGTCCTAGGGTCCTCCACCTATTTATAATCCGAGTGTTAAGGACTTTAAGTCCTAGGGTCCTCCACCAAAATATGAGTGTTAAGGACTTTTAAGTCCTAGGGTCCTCCACCAAAATATGAGTGTTAAGGACTTTTAAGTCCTAGGGTCCTCCACCAAAATATGAGTGTTAAGGACTTTTAAGTCCTAGGGTCCTCCACCAAAATATGAGTGTTAAGGACTTTAAGTCCTAGGGTCCTATACCAATTCATAATCCTATGATCAACCTCCTATCAACCTAGATAGGATCTATATCATACTTATTCATTCATAGCTAAATCAATACATAAAGCTTATGTATCACAATCCATGCAAAGTCATGCGTTTATATAACTTCATAATTAACCAATACCATCCGATATCTATTAATCCATTATCCATCGGTCAACGTTTTCGTTGACCGCCATTTCAAACCTTATACGTATCAACTTAATCATCATATAATTAAGTTAATAATGTTCATTTATGCTCCTCTTACGCTTCAAGCAAACATGCATTTTATATAATTCCTCATAACATATTTCATGCATAAACAATTAATTCCTTTCATACAAACTTAACCATGTTGGCTAATCACATGTTTAAATACCTTTTAAACATAATTATGAACACATATAACATGTATTTAGGTAATCTCATAATTAACCCAAAATTTATAAGATATTAAGTCGTCCACTCACCTTAAATGAGCCTTTAGCGTGTTCTACGCTCCACGGTTGAACTTCGACGAAACTCCGGCGAAACTCCGGCGAACTCCGGCGAACTCTAGAAACACCTTAGTTAAGATCATAACATGGTTTTATCATCACAAAACTCATATCAATACAAATAACCTCTAAAAGGTTATTTTTCCGGCGAACCGGCCGTTTGGCTTCCAAGTCCGTTCTTGGACTTGAACTACCTTCCAACCCCTCATTCTACACTTCTAAACATGTAGAACAATCCTAGGGGTTCTCTATATGATACATATCTCATATTATAGAAGAAAAATAAAGGAAAAATTATAATAAGATCATTACCTTAATTATTCACACTTTTCCCTCACTTTTTTCTTCTTAATCTTCCCCCTTGGAACAACCTTGCTTGAGCTTGATTTGCAGCAATGGAAGATGGACTTAGAGCTTCTTTTTCTCACCTTCTTTTGATCTTGGCCGAGACTGATAGGGGGAGGGAGTGATGAGAGTGGTTTTGTCTCATAGGACCAATGAGTGTGGATGGGAGGTCCACCTCATGTCCTTTAGATGCCTTCTCAATCAAACCAACCTCTCTCATCCCCTTCTTCTAATTTCAGCCGCCCAATTCATTGATTCTTATGACCAAAAATCGTGGGTTGGCCCCCACACATGTGGGAGGTCAACCCTTTAACTCCCGATGTGTACAATCGGTCCCGAAAGTTGTATTTTTCAAGCTATTTTAATTATATTTTATTTTTTCAGGTCAAATAAAATATATTACGTGTTCCCAATCGTAATGGCCTCTTGAAATAATACATATTCCAAAAAATTAATTTAGAAGTCTCCGAAATTCATTTTCGGGCTGTTATCTGTTAAATTATCGGTACCGGTATTTGGGCCTCTTTTGCCCAATCGGTCAACTCTGGGCCTTTCCACGATCCAAATACAACATTCACCACCATATAAATATTATCTTTACCGAGATGAATAAAATATGTGGTCTCGGAAATGTTGGGTGGTCCCCGCCCCTGATGTGGGTCCCACGTGCAATTTACTATTCACGCGAAGGAATTAATAAAAAAATTCAACTTCATAAATTCATTGATCATTCCATAGTGTCTAATACAATATCACTAAGAAGTAAATATAATTTGGGGACGGTGTTACAAGTTCACCCCCCTTATTTGGGATTTCGTCCCCGAAATCCACGTGTCTAATCGAACAGAAACGGGTATTGCTCCTTCATTGAGACCTCGGTCTCCCATGTTTCTTCTTCGACTCGATCACTTCTCCACAGAACCTTCACCATATGAATCTCCTTGTTCCTAAGCTTCTTCACCTGTTGACCCACTATCTTCACCGGCTCTACCGCATATTGCAAATCCTCACGAATCTCTACTGGCGGTTTCTCAAGAATATGAGATGGGTCCCGTATGTACTTCTTGAGCATTGATACATGAAACACGTCATGTATCTTCTCAAGTTCCGGCGTCAACTTGAGTCGGTAAGCCACGGCTCCAATCCTTTCAAGGATCTCAAACGGACCAATGTATCGGGGGTTAAGCTTACCCCTCGATATGAATCGGATGATGCCTTTCCAAGGAGAAATCCTTAGGAACACCTCATCGCCAACTTCAAACTCCAACGGTCTACGTCGTTTATCGGCATAGCTCTTCTGCCGATCTTGGGCAGCCTTAAGTCTCTCCCGAATGATCTTCACCTTAGCCTTGGTGATCTCAACAAGTTCTATACCCTCGAGCCTGGCCTCGCCAACCTCGTCCCAACACAGAGGGGTTCTGCATTTCCTCCCATACAATGCCTCGTATGGAGGCATGCCAATACTCGCCTGATAACTATTGTTATAGGCAAACTCCACAAGGGCCAGATGTTTGTCCCAACTCCCCTGGAACTCCAAAGCACACGCCCTAAGCATGTCTTCCAAAATCTGTATCACCCGCTCGGATTGTCCATCCGTCTGAGGGTGAAATGTCGTGCTAAACTTCAGTTTAGTCCCCAACGATGCTTGGAACTTTGGCCAAAACCTAGATGTGAATCTTGGGTCCCTATCCGAGACAATGGATATTGGAACTCCGTGTAACCTCACAATCTCCTCTGTGTATAACTTGGCCAAACGTTCAAGGGGATAAGTGATGTTGATAGGCAAGAAGTGTGCACTTTTGGTAAGCCTATCAACCACCACCCACACTGCATTGTAATTGTTCACCGTCCGTGGTAACCCTACCACAAAGTCCATGGTGACATGTTCCCACTTCCATTCTGGAATGGTAAGTGGCTGCAAAAGTCCCGCCGGGTGCTGATGCTCCGCCTTAACTTGTTGACAAGTAAGGCATCGGCTCACATACTCCGCGATGTCTCTCTTCATACCAGACCACCAATAACTTTCCTTCAGGTCTCGGTACATCTTTGTACCTCCTGGATGCCTAGCATAGGCTGAAGAATGGGCTTCCTCGAGTATGGATTTCCGGAGTTCCTCATTATGTGGTACGCATACGCGATCTTTGAACAATAAAAGGCCATCATCACGTACCCGAAAATCCTCAACGGGTCCCGCAAGGATCCGTTCGCGGACCTTCTGACATTCCTCATCAATGCCTTGACCTCTACTGATCCCACTCAGCAACATAGGTCTAACCTCAAATCTAGCTATGAGCGCCCCACTTGAGGACACTTCCACATGTGCCCGCAACGCTCGTAGGCATGTGAGTAACGTCCCCGATGTGCTTTTCCTGCTTAGTGCATCGACCACTACATTGGCCCTCCCGAGGTGATAGTCGATGATCAAATCATAGTCTTTGATCAACTCCATCCATCTCCTTTGCCTCATATTCAACTCTTTCTGAGTGAATACATACTTCAAGCTCTTATGATCCGTATAAATGCGACATGTCTCCCCGTAGAGATAATGTCTCCAAATCTTCAATGCAAACACTACCGCCCCCAACTCTAGATCGTGGGTAGGATAGTTCGCCTCGTGTTTCCTCAATTGCCTAGAAGCGTAGGCAATAACCTTACCGTTCTGCATCAGTACACATCCAAGCCCTTGGATGCTAGCATCGCTGTAAATATCATACCCTATCCCATGTATGGGTAGGGCGAGAACTGGTGTTTCGGTAAGTCTTTTCTTTAGTTCAAGGAATCCTTTCTCACACTTGTCGTCCCATATGAACTTGGCCCCCTTCTTTGTGAGCTTCGTTAATGGAGACGCCAATACGGAGAATTTCTCCACGAACTTACGGTAGTATCCCGCCAAGCCAAGGAAACTGCGTATCTCTTTCACATTCTTGGGCCTCTCCCAATCTATAATGGCTTCTATTTTGGCGTTGTCCACAGCAACGCCCGAACCGGATATGATATGACCAAGGAAGCCAATCTCCTTGAGCCAAAATTCACACTTAGAGAACTTGGCAAAGAGTTGTTTTTCCCTTAGTCGTTCAAGTACAAGTTTTAAGTGATGCTCGTGATCTTGCTCATTCTTCGAGTATATCAAGATGTCATCAATGAATACAATCACAAATTGATCTAAATACTCACTAAACACACGGTTCATCAAGTCCATGAATGCTGCCGGTGCATTGGTTAAACCAAATGACATCACTAGAAACTCGTAGTGACCGTATCTAGTGCGAAATGCACTCTTAGGTATGTCCCTTTCCTTGATATTCAATTGGTGATAGCCCGACCTCAAATCGATCTTTGAGAACACCATCGCTCCCCGAAGTTGGTCAAACAAATCATCAATCCTTGGTAGAGGATATTTATTCTTGATTGTGACCTTGTTCAGTTGTCGGTAGTCGATACACATTCTTAGTGTACCGTCTTTCTTCTTCACGAAGAGTACCGATGCTCCCAACATTGAATGACTAGGTCTAATAAACCCATTGTCCAATAGTTCTTGTAATTGGACTTTCAACTCTTGAAGTTCTGCCGTTGCCATTCGATAAGGAGGAATCGAAATGGGTTTGGTTCCCGGCTCTACTTCAATCACAAATTCGATCTCTCTATCGGGTGGAAGCCCCGGTAAGTCCTTGGGAAAGACGTCCGGATACTTATACACGACACGTACATCGTTGATGTCGACCTCCTTCTTTGTCTGATCTACCACGTAAGCAAGGTATGCGTGGCAGCCTTTCTTCATCATCTTCCGTGCTCTCATCACGGATATGATACAACTTTGAGATCTTCCTCGATCTCCCTCAAATCGTAGGGCGTTTCCCTCATCATCCTCAAGTTCTAAGACCTTGGTGTAACAATCAACTCGAGCATGATGCTTCTCGAGCCAATCCATCCCTAGGATCGCATCAAACTCCAGCATACTTAGAGGTACGAAATCACAAGTCAAAGGTTGACCCGTCACTTCCACCTCACATGATGGATAGTAAGAATTCCTCTCCACGTCGTCACCTAACGGTGTGGATACTAGCAAAGTTTGCGTCATTGGTGTCAATGGCACGTCAAGACCTTCGGCGAACGCTTCACTCACAAATGAGCGTTGTGCCCCGGTATCGATGAGGATCCTCGCACTCCTACCATTGATCTTTAATGTCCCTACATTTATACGCCATGTAAGAAACACCTTCTAATGTCTTTGAACCCCTTTTTGGAGGTTATTACGTTTACATCAATGTCTGGGATCAAACGGGGATCCGATCACAGAAGAACGGAGCGAAAAAACTTTTTTTTTTCTTTTTTTGTCGGAAATGGGGTACGCACGCGTGCGTCCCTTCCCACGCACGCGTGCGTGGGTGGAAGTAGGGTGACGGAGTGTTTTAACGCAACGAACGGCGCCGGTTGGCCCAAAAACGGGGGATGCACGTGTGCGTCCCTTCCCACGCACGCGTGCATGGGTGCTAGTAGGGTTTTGGACGCTAAGAACGGCGCCGGTTGGCCGGGGAACGGCGCCGGTTGGGCCCTGGGCAGCCCCTTCCCCTTTTTCTTGCTCTTTTTACTTAGAAACCGACCGGCAAAGTCACCGGTCGGTCCGTCCAACCCCGCTATCACTTCTAACACATTAATACACGTAGTTTATTAAGCATTAGCAAGGGATTACCTGCAACGGAGTCGGGGTTGGCCCGAGCATCGGCCTCGGTCATCGCGTAGACCCTTGCTTGGGCCCTGCCTTGGTTAACGGATGCGGCATGGCTCGTTAATGCACCGCCTCTTCCCGTGCCGCCGTTCGACGGCCCTGCACGGTTTCTACTCGTCAAAGCTCCTCCTCCGGACCTGGGAGCTCCTCCTCCCCCCAATTGTGGGCAATTAGCCTTCATGTGGCCTGTGTTCCCACACTGATAACACCTCGGGGGTGCGTGGCACTTCCCGGAGTGATTCTTCGAACAGTTGGCACACCTAGGAGGTCCTGTATTTCGAGAGGAGGATGAGTGTCACTGTGCATCCCTGTTCTTCTTTGCCGGTGGTGCCGGCATCTTGAACGAACCACTACCTACACCGTGGTTATTCTTTCGTGATTGCTCGGTCAGCCCCGAATTGTGCCACTTTCTCTTTTTCGCCTCTTCGGCGTCTCTTTCTTTCCTCTCATTCCACTGAGCCTCCTCAAGTAGGCCCTGTTCCCAATTTTTGAGGGTTCTCCCCAATTTTTGCCGGTGTTTACCCAAGTATTTTTTCGTGGGCCACCTTTAACAAATTGGGAGAGTTCCCCCTACCGAATCAGACGCTCGATGGCTCTCTTCAGCGTGACGCAGTCATCAGTGTTGTGGGAGGTGTTCTTGTGGTAACGGCAGTAGGTGTCGCCCCGATGGACATCATAGATTTCCTTCGCTGACCGAGGATCCTTTGCAATGAGATCATGCTCCTCGAGGATGGAGCTGACCGAGTGTGTAAGGGGGGGGGGGGGGGGGGGGGTCTTCGGCCTTTCCATCCTCGGACGCCATGGGCGATCCTTCTTGTTCTATCCTATCCGTCAGACCCTTGGCGGTTCTGTCCTCTTTGTCCTCGGTCCCCGTCCGAGGGTGCGCTAGGGGTTTGCGCGAAGTTTGTCTTCTTGGAGGGGTGCCCCCATCCTTCTTGTGGTTGTGGAGCTCGTTAGCGTATAGGTTTCCCCGCTGGTTGGTGATGAGGCTCCTTGCGTATGGGGTGCTCTAGAGGGCGCCATGATAAAGGACAAGGAGGGTGCGTTCATCGGCCCCTACGACCTCATCGATCTCCTTCGTCCACCGATCGATAAAAGACCGGAGTGATTCGTCGTGTTGCTGCTTGATGGAGAGGAGATGGGTGAAGTACTTCTTTACGCGTTTCCTCCCAGCAAAGTGGGTGAGGAAGCGTTGGGCAAGATCCTGCCATGAGTCTATGCTTCCTTCGGGGAGCGCGTTGAACCATTCATATGCTGGTCCCTCGAGAATGGAAAGGAACCAGTGGCAGAGGTACTCATCCGACGCATTCACCATCAGCATGTTATCCTGATAGGGGCTGAAATGCTCCTGTGGGTCGGTGCAACCGTCATAGGGTTTGATGGCGTTGACTCGGTATTTCTCGGGAATAGGGGCCGAGAGTACCCTTGCAGTGAAGGGAGTCCTCGTCCTGATTTGGACGATGGGGTCACCTCGTCCTTCGGTCAACTCCCTCTCTAGGGCACTGACCTTGTGTAGGAGTGCGTTGAAGCCGGGATCCCTAGATGAGTTGCCCGTGGGAGTGGCGGCCAGCTGTTTGGCCTCGATCTGGGCGAGCCTTCGCTCAAGCTGGGCGATAACCTCGTCCCGGGGATCTTTAGCGGCCGTAGTGGCGCCTTACTGGGTTCGCACACGGGCTGCGTGAGCCGTGTTGATTTTGTGGCCCGCGTCGTCCTCAAGCAACTTTCCCTTACCTTTGTCCAGGCGGGGCCGATCCGCTGTCCGGGATACGGACCCAAACTTTCCCTTGGTGAGCCAAACTCACGTTCACCAATCCGTCCCGCCATCCTCTCCGATACTGGCCGACGGCATGTGTCACCTAGCCTATTGAAGGCTGAGGCTTTTCCACGCGCTGGGGTCGGTCCAGCTCGAAGAAGGGAAGCAAGATGGGAATGGGATGACGATGTGTCCTGGGCCTCCACCCCCTCGTCGTTGCCTAGTTTCATGACTAACGACTGAGGCGGTGGAGGTGGTGGAGTGGTGTTCTCCCCCGTGCTAGGCATCAAAATATTCCACCGGAAACCGCCCCAAATAGTGATGTTCGGACGGTGTTCGGACAGAAACGTGCTGAACCTGAATTTTTTTCTCTATATATATAATAAAAAGAAATCTGCAGAGCCGCAGGGGCACAAGTACCCCCAAGCTCTAGTGTAGTTCCGTCCCTGAGTGTAGTTGTTATCTTTAAAGCATACATCACTGAGTTTTTCCTTTGCACACTATCTGTTCAATAAAATGCCTATGTGAAAATATTCCCTGTTTATATTAATTTTCAGTTCAGCAAATTCCTGGGCAGCCTACTACAGGTAGGAACATGGAAAATAGCAAATGAAATACCTGGAAGAATGGAGATGATTCTAATTTCAGGTTTTTGTCAGCTCTCATATTAGTTCTTAAACTTGAATATTGCCCTTTGGTTAATTCCCCTTTGATTTTGATTTGATTATATATTTGACTTTAGTCTTTTTAACTGTTTTACCACTCGATTTTTTTTTTAATTTGTGTCTAAAGATAATAAATCTCCTATTCTGACAACTTTAGGGTAACTTATATTTGTGTGTCCCTTTACTTAGAGCTTAAATTAGTTAGATTGGATTAATATACTGTGTACTTAGTTTGCATCATAGAGAGTATTCTTTTTGCATTATGCCTTTTTTTATTAGCTAGTTTTTGTTCATTGTGTTTCAATGTGTATTATTGTATGTAAAGTGTTTGATAAAATGCTGAAATGAACTTTATACTGATACATTGTTATGTTGATGCCAAAACACAAAGTTTTATAAAAAGTAATATTATAGGTCCAAGTTTTTGTATTCATCTTAGCAAGCTGCCTGTACCGACACGGGTGATCATATATCTTTTAATTATACTCCGTATTTCTATTGCAGGATTACGTTGACAGAGTCTGATGATAGTGTTATCATATCTCTAGTAGATCAATTTGAATCAATTTTAATATGCAAGCGACCTTCATTTTGCATTCATTTATTTTAAATTTATTTATCTAATTGTATACTCCGTATGTCTTCTTTGTATTTGGTAGTCACTGAAACCATGATACTTTCTTTTTCATATAAAACCATGATTCTTTTTTCTCTTTTCCTTATGTATGAAATTACGAACGATATAAGTTGATGTACAAGTATTTTATGTATTTGCTAATTTGTGTTGCTGCCAATAAGTCAAACAGTTGTTTGTCTTATTTCGCTTATTATTTTTGTTACAAAATAAACATAAGAAGTAGCTTTTGACTTTTTGTGCAACAGAGTCAGGCAGTTTAGTCAACTTTAATCTCATTGTTGCATTTGATCTGTGCAGAATTGCTCAAGACGATCAGAGCATGATTTCTATTGAAAAGATGACTGCCCTACTATATATGATGCACTCACGAAGTTATGTCTTAAATTTCAAAAAGATTTGGATGGGCATAAGAGTGAATGTGGTTTGCTTAACATGGATAATCTGGCTAATCTTCTATTATACAAAACGAAGTGGAATTGCTGCCACTTTTCCCGCCCATTTCGCCGGGTCAAAAACGGGTCAAGTATGTGAAAATCGAATTTTTGAGGATTGGGTCCACATCAGTTGACCAGAATGCTTTTAGTTCAAATTTTCGGCCTTTTTTCTCAATTGAAAACGTGTTGCTGTGAACAAATTTATTTCTGAGGTGGTCAAACACATTTAATGCGGGTGGTTGAGCATTTAATGAGTTATTGGGTGGACTGAAGATTGTTACACGCCGGGTAATTCAGTTTCATTGCAAACCCTAAATTTTGAATTCCCTATATATACGGAGTACTAAGTAAATCTCATTTCAAACTCACCACCACACCATGACAACAAGCAAGGAAAACACTCGGCCTAATAATAGTGATTTGTATTCCATGATAAAGGAAGTTGACCTCACTAGGTCAACTTGGGTTATCAGAGTACGGGTGGTAGGAGCTTATGAGGTTCCATCTCATTCCAAAGGAGGTGCAAGGCTGAAAGTAGTTTTTCACGATGCGGAGGTAATTCAACATTCGTTTATGCATTTTAAATTGATACTCAAGCATTTAAATTCTCAAAAATTCAACTTTATAACACTTATTCAAGTAGCATTGCAGGGGGACCGTATTCATGCAGTCATAAAAAGGCCGTTCACGCATCTGTATAGAACCAAACTGGTGGAAAACCAATGTTTCAGAGTCAAGAACTTTTTAGTTCTAGATAACTATTACAACTACAAAATGAGATTGTAATATTATCAACCTATGACTTACAATGCTTTTAAAAAACCTTTTGGTGTTTTCGATTTTGCTATGTCTATTGGTTTGCAAGTTAGGGGTGACTAACGTTCACATACAAAGTTAGAAACATTTTAGCAGAACTACAACGCATGAATGGAGGAAGCCACAAAGATTGTGATATGTAAGAACGAGACACACAGATGGCATGGTTGAATCACGTTGTGTGATTGAAATTATAGGCAACAAATTCTTTAGAATTGTAATATTCGTAGTATTTGTAATTTGTAATCAGAAAAGGCATTTACATGACTAAAAATGTAACATTCGGTTTTTATAATAAAGTTGAGACATTTTATGTTACTTATGAGCCTATAAATATTTTTAAAATTAGTATTAACAGATAGAAAATCCGAATTACTAAAAATGATTATAATATTTAAACATCCCAATAATTCTCACTTTCTAAGAAAGAACATTTTAATCAAATAAGAAAGAACGTTTCAATAATAAAGAACATTTCAATAGGAAAGAACATTTTAAGAAAAATTGTGGTAAAAAAAGACAGTACTTAATTTAATAACTAACTTTATGAAATCCTGAATTGTACAAAACATATGAAAAGATAACAAATAAATTTTCCCAATTCTGATGAAAACATTGCAAAAGCGTACTACATATACTAACTAAAAATATATTATTGCCGACATTTAATATTACATAGAGTATTTGCTGCTTATAATATTTTGCACGTTATAAATATCGTATAATGTGTGTGTGTGTGTATATATATATATATTCAATTCAGTGCAGTTTGTATTAAAGGAGGTTAAGAAGGCATACCTTATCTTTGGGGTGGAAACCTGTTATCCTAAGTCTAAACTATTTAATTATTACATATGAGGGTATCTTATTAAAGGCCCCAAAACCTACAAATTACATTCATCAAACTAAAATACAAAAATAAAAACAATATTTCAATGTTCCTGGCTGCACCTGAAATTAAAATAGAATAGTAAGTAAAATGTGTTGGTGATGCAAGTTCACTAAAACAAACAAGTGAAAACCACACCTTATATGCAACTAATTTCATAGCTTATGTTAATAATATAAAATTCTTAATGTGTGCTCAAAATATGTTTAATTTCTCATGAAAAGAAGAAATAATAACTGCATCAAATCAGTTTAAAAAACAAGAACGAGCTTAGTGGAGTATGTAAGACACCAAACATTTAATAACATACTATTTAAATTTTAAATTATTATAATGAAAAATTATATAATTTCCATTGTAAAATTTAGCATTTGAAATCATATCATTACTGAAAGAATTTTAGTTCATAATCACTCGGTTATACCAAGTAATATATATATATATATATATATATATATATATATATATATAAGTTAATTTGCATGTTTTGAGCACTTTTATTATTAGCCTAATGTATTGTTATATAAAATATACAAATATTAGTATATTTATATAACACGCAGGCCTTAACGAAAATGTTTATAAAATGTATAATATGAACAATTTACAACCAATTAAAAATATTAGTTCTGTAAAAATAATAGATAATAGATACAACATAGTACTATTAAAACAAGTAAATTTAAAAAAAGGTTCTTTGACTCCTGTTTAAAATACCAAAAATGGAAAAAGTAGTAAAGCTGAGTTTAGCATTTTCGAATATGACATAGAAAAGCACTTCTTCCAAAGGCTGAAATTTGGGTTTTCCCTAGGTGGCATTTAATTAAATCAAGGTTGAGAATAGAATTTTCGAAAAACTACATTGGAAAGAACTCAGGCCGAATACTATATGTGGCCAACGTGGTTAAAAAAAGCGTGTTCCCAAGGTCGCAGTATATAATAATCCCAGGCCACAATCATAATAAATGCTTGACATAAATGATTATTTACCAACAGTATTTGACCATCTTCTCATTGTGGATAACATAAATCCTCTATAATGCTTCAACCACTACCTCATCAATTCATTAATGAGACAGAGCAAACCTTTGGAGCAGAGAAGCTCTCACAATGAGTGAATTTGGCATGGCCATCCTCAGTACTCAATATCAATTGTATAGAATCTTAGGCGTAGCAGAAGTAAACTCATGATAATATCATTGTGTGGAAGTAAATGAACAACTGAAACATATCGAGACACGTACGCATCACAAAGGCAAAAATCAAGACAGATCTACACGCCACAAATGATACATGTCTGATATTCATACACTTTCAAACCAAAATTTGATCAATCTAACAAATATATCTTTTATATACATATATATTAAGACATAGATGCATCACAACTGCATAGATCTACAGATCTAAATGCAACAAATGCTCTATGTCTTTTATTTACGTTTTCGAACCAAAAAATTATAGATCTAAACAGATTTAAATGGAGAAAAATAATCTATGTTTGATATTAAAAAAGGACGAACCACAGATTCAGAGATCTAGATAGATCTATTCAAAAATCCACGTATGGTCAATAGTTTTCGTCTGAAATCGAAAACAAAAACAAAAATGATTATTTTGTTCAGTCGTTGGATTCCCTCACATGTGAAAGAACACATCAATCATTGGATGAATCGTTAAGAAACTAGGTAATACATTAGAGAAATAGTGAAAACGAAAACAAATTTACAAAAAAAATATGGATAATCGCTTATACCGTTAATTGAATCGAAAATGGAAACAATCCGTCTATTCGGTGACATGTTAATGAACACATCCACAGTCGGATGTCAATAAACAACAGATAGATGATAGATGTACATAGCATAGAAGAGAGCTAGACATAATGTAGAGAAAAGATAGAGGAAGATCGATACAGAGAGCGTAGGAGAAAGATGGAGGAAGAGAGAATAAGAGACCGTAGATTAACCGATGGGTATAACGATCAATATATATTATTAGGGTTTGGGGGATGAGGTCTGTATTTAATACGTATAATTACTGTATTTAATATGAATATGGACCTGGACGGATTAAATGGAATAGAATGGGGTGGGTCGAAATTGGGCTACATAGGATTTTAAATTGGGCTCAATTTTGTTTAAATTTAATACTTAGTTTTAGATGGGTTGAAAATATTCAGACGGGTTAAAACTTAACTGGATTTTGACACTATTTATCTGATCTAAAATTCTTAACTTATTTGTAATGATTAAAAAATATAATTTGTATTATGTATAATGGTAATGATAATAATAAAAACCAAAAAAATCATATAATAATGACCCTTACGAGAACTCCACCTGCAACATCAAACAAGGGAAACCACTAGCACAGATGATAATTCGGTGCAAACTCATTATATGGGACGAGGCACCAATGATGCACAAATATTGTTTTGAAGCTTTGGACATGAGCTTTGCACAAGTATTCCTTACTCTCTCAAAACATTATTCGTACCGGAACTGCGTTCTTACGTGAACTCCACCTTCATTCTCATTTCTCTCCTGGGAGTGCGTTCTTACCGGAACTGTTCCCTACACACACACACACACATATGATAATAAGGATCATAGAATAAGGATCAAATGAGAAGACATCTTAACGTAAGAAGTGGGAAGCGTCACATTTGGCTCTTTCTGATGCACTTTTGCGCTAATCTGATGCACTTTTTGTGATCGCAGAAAATATATGATTAATTAAAAAAGCGATGCAAGACGTGGTGGCATTTTCGTAATTAATCAAAACTTTTCTGCTATCCCAAAAAGTGCATCAGATTAGCGCAAAAGTGCATCAGAAAGAGGCAAATGTGAAGCTTCTCACTTTTCACGTTAAAATGTATTCTTATTAGAACTCAACCCTACACACACACACACACACACACACACACACACACACACACACACACACACACACACACATATATATATATATATATATATATATATATATATATATATATATATATATATATATATATATATATACCTCGATTACAATTGGTTATGTGTATTACATGTATACTCTTTCATGTCATTTAGACATTAACTATTTAGATTAACAACTAATACAAAATAACTATTATTACTTAATATTATTATTATTATTTAATATATGTCTCGCGCATCGCGCGGGTGAGAATCTAGTATGTACAAAGCGAAAACAACATGGTTGCGGGCTTCCGGCAGAAGACAAAGTGATTACATTTGCTGATGTGATACTAGTATTATCTATCACGACTTATCAAGAAATGAATTACGTTGTATGATTAACATATTGTTATGATATTAAAAATTTAATTATCTCTAGCATTTTAAACAAGAGGTGTATGTGTTCAATATTTCTTGTAATTATAATTAATTCAATAGTTAATTTTTTATTTTTTTTTTGAACCGAAACTCAACTGCTGTATTAATGTAATAAATCGTTTGCCATCTGGCTTACAATACAATTCGGTAACGTGGAATAACTATAAAAATGGTCCGAGGGTGTAACATGCGTTCTTGCTAAAGCATGAGCCGCATGATTCGGAGACCGCTTACAAAAAGAGATCTCATAATTTCTCTTTGTCTGAAGAAGATACCGGATATCGTCAGTGATCGGGTCCAAATAGGTGAGCCCCCCGCCATCACGAACCCCACGTACAATTACCTGAGCATATGGATGGACCAAACCGGGTCGGGTCGGCCCTGAACTGGCCCGGACCGTCACTGTGCGGGCTCGGCCCTGAACCGGCCCGGCCCGCCACTGTGCGAGCCCGGCCCGGCCCGGTTACGGATTGGGCGGTGCGGGCTTTTACCCGGCCCGGGGGAGGCTAGCGGTTCGGGCACGGTTCACAAAAATGAAGGCCCGGCCCGGCCGGTTCGGGCCAACGCCTATTTTTTTTAAAAAAAATCTTTTGGCTACCAAACAGGCCTGCCACTTTATGGAAGAAACAACTGAAGATGGCGGAAATTCTAATTGATTCTTATTTATTAAAAAGTGTATTTCATGTTGTAATTTTTGCTCAATTTCCAATTGTACTACATATTTCAAATTAATACAGTTTAAATTTTTATGCCCAACTAATCTGAACTAAAAATAAAAAATAAAAAAAATAAATAGCCCGGGCCCGGCCCGGCCCGAACCGGCCCACAACCCGGCCGGGTAGGCCCGACCCGGACCGGACCCGGTATCACCCTGGGCCGGTTCCGGGCCCATCATTCAACAAAAAAAGCCCGCCCGGGCCCGGCCCGGAATCGGAACTGGACCGGACCGGGTCCATCCATACCTGAGCATCAGACTCAATTTCAACCTTTTCCCATCCCTCATTAATAGCTTCTATAATGGCCTCACGTAGGTTCGGTCCTGACAAATGAGAGGCCCTGTTCAAAAGAAAAATCAAAGGCCCTAATATTTAATACAAAAAATACTAATAATTAAATAAAAAGTAATATCATATTTTATAATTATACTTCATACTAAAATGCAATTTTTCTTCGACTAATACATCAAGAGCATCAAAATCACATCCAATATTTTGAAATTAAACTACACTTATTTAAATAATGCTATCCTTCTAAGATTCTTTGAAATAAAGTCTTCGATAAGGTCTTCATATGCAATCTTCTCCAATATGTCGCTCTCAATTGCCACTAAAGCCAATCCGTTAAGTCTTTCTTATGTCATTGTTGACCGCATGTAAGTCTTTAACGCCTTCAGTTTTGAAAAGCTTCGCTCTACAGTTGCAACAGTAATGGGAATAGTCAAAAGAACTCTATAAGTAATAACCGCATTAGGAAAGCAATCAAGACGTTTTAAAATTTTCAAGACATCAACAGGCCCCATAGTCTCCATTGGCAAAAAGTCTTTAAGCAACTTTAATTCTACATATAATTCATTTCCATCAAAATTTGATTGTTCATCCTTCTTAAGTGATGCTTCAAGACAACTATAACAAGATTTCAAATTGTTATCATCTAATAAACGCAACTTTTCGGAGGTAAATAAAAACCCAAAAATATTCTCATATTGTTGATATTGTTCAAATCTTGTGGTAAGTGATGTTATTGCTTGATCAACAATGCACAAGAAATAATTAACTCTAAACAACTCCTGTGCAGATTGAGAAACACTAAAACACACATCATCTGGATTCTCATCAAATTGTCGTTTCCTTCTAATTTGCTGCTTTTGAGGAAATACGGCGGCAATGTTCAATTCAATACAAATGCCCGATGCAATTTCTAAGGCACTTGAGAAACCAGTTTCTCTATACTTTTCAAAATAAGAAATTAACCCCTTCAATTTTTCAATAGCAACATCAAGAAGCATGTCAATCTTTTGCAAATCCTTGCTAACTAAATTTACAGCATATAAGATTTCATACCAAATAACTACCGCAACAATGAATTCAAAATTACCAAGATCATTTTCGGCTAAAGATTTTGCTTCGCTCCTAATTTTGGAATCATTGTCGGTTTTTGCTACTTCAAGTAAAGCTTCTCGTATTTCTAAAACCTGAAATCTTATAGCTTTAACACTATCAACACGGCTCTCCCAACAAGTAGATGACAATGATTTAAGAGTTAATCCCTTTATATTTTCTTTCCAAATTTGCCATCCTCAGTGGAATTTGCAAAAATTGTATAGATACGTTGAATAACTCCAAAAAAATATTTAGCTTTACCACAAGTATTCGTCATGTCACATAAAGTCAAATTAAGGCTATGACAACCACATGGAGTATAAAAAGCTCTAGGATTTAAATCCAGCAATTTTTTTTGCACTCCTTGATGTTTTCCTTTCATATTATCATATCTCTGTCCTCTTACGTTATCAAGCTCAAGATCAAGAGAGACCAATTCATTTTGCATAACATTAAAAAGACCTTGACCAGTCGTATCATTAACATTCAAAAACCCTAAGAATGATTCCTCAACGCTAACTGAGTTTGACGAGACATCCACATATCTCAATATTAAAGACATTTGTTCTTGATGACTTATATCAGGGGTACAATCAAGTATCACAGAAAAGTACTTTGCTTGTTTGATTTTTTCAATAATTACAGATTTAATTTGAGAACCAAGCAAGAGTATTAACTCATTTTGGATCCTATGCCCTAGATAATGATAATGAATTTCATCATTTTTAATATGTTGAACATGTTCTTGAACCACAGGGTCAAACTCTTCCAACATCTCAATTAAGCCCAAAAAATTTCCATTACTATTTTGATACAACTTCTTATTCGTACCACGAAATGCAAGATTATGTTTAGCAAGAAATTTCACCACTGAAACAATTCTCAACATCTTTCTCCAATGCTCTTTTTCTTTTTCAAAAAGTTTTTGAGAAGTTTTATCAATCGTTTGATTTTTCTGCAATCTTAAACGCAAATCATACCATGTAGTCATATTTTTAAGATGTTCAACACTACATTCATGTTCTCTAAGCCTAGTGGTAACATGTGTCCAATCTCCAAATCCCTCATTCGCTAATTGATTTCGACCAATTCCTTTTTAAAATATTTTACAGCAAAAATAGAAAACTTTATAAAGTTCCTTTGAATACACTAGCCATTCTCTATCACACTTCTCTCTATTTGGTAAAATTCTAGTGTAAAATGCAGCTGAAAACCTTCTTGGTGATTGATCTTTAGGACCCTTAGTGATAGATAAATCTCTAATTGGACCCTTTTCAACTAAATTATTAATCATGTTAGAATCAAGAATATCCCAATTTCTTGGATCAAATATATCAAAACTTTCAATAGTAACATGATTGTCAACATTAGCTTCTGCTTCAAAAGCATCATTAGCAACAACATTATCATCAAATTCACAACTAGAATTAACAATGCCATCAACATTAACATTAGCAGTTGCACCAAGATCATCATCAACAACATTAACATTTCCATCAACACAATCATCAACATCAACATCATTATCAGTTGCACCAACAATATCATCAACATCAACACCACTACTAGCACAGATATTTTCATTCGCAACAACACTTTGTGATTCTCTTGTAACAAATTTTTCTAAAGCTCCTTTTTGAGAAAAAATAAACTCATCTATTTTTTTCTTCATTCGTTTTTCATATCCAAATTCATATTTTCTAATTCTAGGAGGCTTTTTCAAATATCAATTTCTAAATTGTAATTTATAAGATGTAGATGAACCCAAATTAATAATTAAAAAGTATGAATAAGAACAAAAACACCTGAAGGCTGAAGAAGTGATGACTGATGAGTGAAGCCCTGGAACTGTGAAACTGAAACAGATTAACAGAATAGCCAATTAGCCAGTGCCCACTTGAATCTTGATGCCTTGATAACTCGCAGGCAGCAGTCCGTCCAGGCGTCCAGCAGACTGAAAGCTTGAAGCCTTGCGCCCTTAGCTCTTGCCCTTGCTTCGGCTTTCATGCTGCAGACACACATCACGGAGCTGGAGCACAGAATGAGTGAATGAAAGAAGGGCGAAACTCGAAAGCAGACCGTTCGAAAATAAGAAGAATCTAAGACTCGAAGATATTTAACATTAAAATCTAACGGTAAAAAGAATAAATTGATGAAATTTCATACCTTTGTTCGACTGTTGACTGTTCGAAAATTGCTCAAATCGCTGGTCTCCTCGAAAATCGCATTCTTCATCGCTTCGATTTCTCCATTTGTTCGACTATTCGAGTACGCATTCATGAAGAGTCGAAGACGCAAAACTGCAGAAGATGCAGTTGAAGAGTCAAAGACTTGAGCAATACGCACGCCGTTAGTAAGTTTGGATCGGGCTGACGGGCTGTCTTTTACTCTTTTTCATATTATTACTCTACTAATGGGCCTAGGTATAATACTAGACTTAAAAAAATGGGGGCCCTTCAAAATTGGGGGCCCTGTGCAGCTGCTCCAGTTGCACCTGGGCTGGGCCGGGCCTGGCCTCACGTATCCCAGCCGCCTCAGTTTCTGCTGGAGTCCACTCCGCTTTATGTGAAGCTTCCCTTGCCTTCACGATCTCACCTCTGTCATCCCTAGCAATCCAGCCCCAAGCTCTTGTTCCCCCTACACTCTCTACCGCCGTGTCCACATTTATTTTGATGCCTCCCATACCAGGACGTTTCCATAGTGGAGTTGTGCGTCGCGTATTCCTGCTCGGTTTCCCCACCACCTGTTGTGCCATATTCCATGCTTGTTGCATACTAGCGCAGCAGCTTATAACACAAGCCGTACTCTGCCACTCCTCCTCCCAAACAAACGTATTGCGACGCTTCCACGGTCCCCAGACAAGCATGGCTACTCTACATCTTTTCTCTTTATCCGCCCCACAACAAACTTTTCATCCAAGCCTCCAGAGTATCCTCTCCTCCGCCAGTATCTACTCCCGCTTCCATCCAAACCTCCCTAGCTTTCAGGCAAGATCTCAGGGCATGCTCTGAAGTTTCCGGTTCCTGCAGACAAATTTTACATATGGTTTGAACAGGCACCCCTTTACGCTCCAGATTCGTTAGTGATGGAAGAGAGACATCCAGAACCTGCCGTATAAGATATTTTATTTTGGGTAGTATTTCTAGATCCCATAACGATTTCCAACCTGTCCAAGCACCTTCTCCCACACCATTCATCATAGTTGTGTAGCAACTTTTAACAGAAAAATTGCCATCATTTTCCTTACTCCACCAGAGGCTATCCTTCTTGTCGTGAATACTGATGGGAATGCTGGTTATAATCTTCCTTTCCTCCTCGTTAAAGATTGCTCCAATTCGTTCCATATTCAATTTCCTACCTGTGCTATCTCTCAGAGCTGCTACATTCGTATTTGCTATCCTGGGTGGTTTGGCTGACTGAACTAGTCCATTCCCCGGTCCTGGAAGCCAGGCATCACCCCAAACCTGAAACTATCTACCGTTCCAGCACGCTTTCTGGTATTATCTCGTAGGACGCTCTGAGTCTCCAAAATACTTTGTCATATGTAAGAAGGATCGTTGCCAAGTTTGGCCTGCAAAAAATCGGAGTTGGGAAAGTACCTGGCCTTTAGTACACGCCCATTAAATTATCGGGCCTAGATAGGATCCGCCATCCTTGTTTAGCCAGCATAGCAAGGTTGAACTCTCTTAGCTTCCTGAATCCCAGCCCTCCAAGTCCTTTCGGTTTGCGCAACGCCTCCCATCTTCTCCATCTGATTCCTCTTTGTTCGAATTTTGAGCCTTTCCACCAGAAGCCGTTCATTAGTTTCTCAATCTCGTCACACAGATCCCTGGGGAGCAAAAAGACATTCATCGCATAGGTGGGCATCGCCTGGACAACATTACGAAGCAACACCGCTCTTCCTGCTCGAGATAAAAAACGATTGTTCCAGCTTTTGATTCGCTGGACAATTCTATCTCTCAGAAATCCAAGAATAGCTCGTTTTCCTCTTCCTATTAAGCTCGGCAAACCCAAGTAGCGTTGATTGTCTCCATCCTGCAAAACTCCAAAGAAATTACGACAATAGCCCTTAAAATCCTCCTGGATATTGGGGCTAAACGACAAAGTGGACTTGGTGAAATTAACCGCCTGCCCAGAGTTATCCTCATACTCCTTCAGGATTTCCTTCACCGCAGTGCATTCAATCATATTAGCTTTGAAGAAAAGAAAACTATCATCAACGAAGAAAAGGTGGGATACCCGTGGAGCTCTTCTGCAAACGGCCACCCCGTGGATGTTCCTTTGTTTCTCAGCCTGTCTGATTAGAGCACTCAGCCCCTCCGCAATTAGAATAAAAAGATAGGGAGACACAGGGTCTCCTTGGCGTAGCCCCCTGCCCGGAATAATTGGGCCCAAAAAATCGCCATCAAACTGGATATAGTACTTAACAGTCTTGACACATTCCATAATCATTCTCACCCAACATCCATGAAATCCCATTTTAATTAGAATTTTGTCGAGGAAAGACCAATCCACTTTGTCATAGGCCTTACTCATATCAAGTTTAAGTGCAATAAATCCCTCCTTCCCAGTACTTTTGCGCTTCAAAAAATGTTGGGTTTCAAAGGCCACAATAATATTATCAATAATAGATCTGCCAGGAATAAAAGCACTCTGGCACTCAACTACCAAATTATCAAGCATCCCCTTCAGCCTATTCGCCAACACTTTTGAAAAAAATTTATACACCACATTACACAATGCAATCGGGCGCCAGTCTCCCATGCATTCGGGTTTGTCCTTTTGGGGGATCAAGACAATATTAGTTATATTAATATTATCAGCTAGCTTTCTTGTCTCAAACATATTAGCACACAACCCTGATATTTCTGGGCCTACAATATCCCAATAGATCTGAAAAAAGGCTAGGTTCATACCATCCGATCCAGGTGATTTCTCTGGGTGCATATCAAAGACCGCCGTTTTAACCTCCTCCGGACTGATAGGCTGTAGTAAAGCTTGGTTTTGGGTCTCGATCACCTGAGAAAACTCCCCTCGGACATCCGTCAACCGGTTCTGCTCCGAAACCTGAAACAAAGACAAAAAATAATCTGTGACCATAGCTCCCAGATCAACCCTGTCCGTGCACCACACCCCATCTTCCTTCCTGTTGAGGTTAATTCGCCGTAGCCCGGAAGTACAACACCCCTTTCGGGAGGGTTTCATGGCTATGTGGTGATAATAAAATATAAAAAATGATTTTTACGTGGAAACCCGGAAAGGGAGAAAACCACGGGACTGTTTTGGCTAATGTCCAAGCCCTCTCATTCTCATTAATCCCTCCTCACCATTACAATGTACAAGCTTGAGCCTTGGTAGCCATTAATGGAGCTCCAAACCCTAGAGAGAAGTGGGGTGTGGGGAAGAAGAGAAAAAAAGTCCCTAAACATTGTGGGAAAGCCTCTATTTATAGGGGAAATGGGGGAGGGTTCATTTCTAACCTAATGGGCCAAAGTGGACCAAAACGGGCCCAAAGGCCAAAACAAGCCTGAAAAGCTGAAAACGACCCTCGTCGATTGGGCTCTGACCCGGGGTAATGGGTTGGACTTCTGAACAGTAATAAGCCGGGATGATATATCCCAACACAAGTCCCCCAGTTTCTTGAGTAGTGAGCGTGCGAATCTGCTCAAGAAAATATACTCTTGTCTGCACTCTTCCTCTGTCTTCCTTGGACCTGAGCCTTCGAGCAATCCCACTATATGAGTGGATGTCTGTCTCTCTAACGTAATCCGTCGGTAAGACGCTCTCCCCCTAAATGTATCAGGTGGGAGTAGAGGACTCTGACTCGGCTTTCCAACCGAGAAGCTTAGAGGCCCTTGCACATATAAAGGCGACGGCCCTAAATACGATGTATGTGCGTATGCATGAATATATGAGATGTGATGCATGAATGTGGGTGTGTCAGGCGTGATATACAGTGACGGGTCCCATCCTAGAAAGGAATAGTGATCCCAAACATGAACGAGACACGATGGCGACGAGGGGCCGATCACGCTGCATAAGATAGTGGTCCCCATTCGCTCGTCGTACCTGCCCTTTAGCCCGGTCCTTTGGATCCTGAGCTGAGCTAGGCCGTCGTAGTCTGTGAGGAGCCAATCATGCTGCATGAGACGGTGGTCCTCATCCACTCGTCGTACCTGTCCTTCAGCCCGGTCCTTTGGATCCTGAGCTGAGCTAGGTCGTCGTAGTCTGTGAGGGGCCGATCATGCTGCATAAGATGGTGGTCCTCATCCGCTCGTCATACCTGCCTTTTAGCCCGGTCCTTTGGATCCTAAGCTGAGCTGGGTCATCGTAGACGGTGAGAAACGGGTTTATCCCATTTGGGGGTTCCCTGGTGCCCCTCTATTTTTTTAGTGTATGTGTGTGTGTCGGTCTGGGGCTCTTCTGGGCGTGACCGTCGGCCTAAGGGTACAATGACCCTCGGCTCGTCGTCTAATTCTTTAAAAATAAAAGTCCAATTTATCATAGGAGCTTCACTCGGCATTATTTAATTTTGGGATATTTTAATCCCTAATAAATAATGGTGATAGCCAATAGCAGCATTAATACTATTTGAAATTAATTAATGAGTCAGGAAATTTGGACTTAGCTTTTGAAGCGGGGCTCGGCGAGCTGAGTCTGAAATGATATGGGATCCCTCTTTTTTATTTAGACTTGGTCAAAATTCTCCATAACCTTACTTATTTGCTATCCATCCATCTGCCGTACGTGCCCAACCCTATTAACTTGATCCGGCCCGCTTAGAAAAAGATCTGGCCCATCCTTCCATACCTCATTTGGACTTCCAATTTTAGAAGCATCGAGAGGAAGGAATGATCCTCACCTACGATAGGCCGGGCGGCCATCCCACAGGTTCAAGGCCGAGCGGGGAAGAGCGAACGAGCGGCCAACTAGTCTTCAAGGGGTCCCAAGTTAACCAGGGCTGAGAAGTGAGAACTCCGAAAGGCCGAGCGGTGAAGGTCTGGCCAAACCGTGGAGGCTCGAGCAGAGCCTTCTATCCACGCTGGCCGGGGCAAGGTCTTCTCCAAAATGGGTCTGATCCTGATATTGTGCGGCGTCGCAGCAGAGCCCCGAGCGTCCGGTCTGATCTATATTCCCATCACCTACATCCTTGATGGGGAAAGGGCGGTTCTATTTGCTGAGCGTCTTATGTGACGGGAGGCGGGACGTCAGCGCCGGTCTAAGTGTTCAAGAGACCAGAATTTAGAGACAGCCGCTTCAAACCGGGTTTCACTTCACTGGACGGTGTTAAAACATTGAGCAGGGTCATTGAAGTCGGGCGGCCAGCTTACAAGTTCCTTGTTGTTCCCCGGTGCGTTGAGAACCAAGCGGTGTACCGCCGGTTAGTGAGCTGATCTGGTCAGCCAGAGTGGCATTGTGCTTGCCGAGCGGCGTTGACCAATGGGTAGCGCTTCAGACGCCGGGCGTCGCGCATACATGATGCCCGAGCTGGCCCCTGATGCGTTGAGAGCCATCATCACATTTGAAAACCCGTGCGGCCAGCCTAGCACTACTTCCTTCTATCCAGACGGAGTGGTGTGCTCGGAGAAGACATCCTTCGGTCAAGAGTACCATCTGAGTGATGTGCTCTGCGCATGGTCCTCTTTTAGCCCTAAGGTGGTTCTGGGACGCTCGGCCTCACTTAACGTGAGCTCTTCTTCCCTTAATGAGAAGACCTTGTTGGTTAAGCCAACATCTTTTCCTACGGATTGCGAGATGCTGAGGGGCCAGCTAGCCTTTGCAGGTATCCAACTGAGGCTACCCGAGGCAGGCAGGCAGAGTGGCGGAGCCGGAAGGCTAGCTCTCATCAGCTTTCTAAGCTGGTCCAGTGACTGCGCGGCATCGAGGATCGGGTGTGCCTGTGCGCTGGGTATTCCGGTGAAAGCAACCACCCTGCAGTGCTGGGCGGCAAGGATATGCATGAGCTGAGTTTGGAGACGTGCGGGCTGCTCCGGCAAGGTAGACCGGCGTCTGGCTTGTCCGCTCCAGGTGCCCCTCTGATTCTGCACCTGCCATTCTATGGAATGATTTTGTTTTCATGAATATTGAAAACGCCAACCGATACCCCCGCTCGGGCCTGCCATCCTCTCTCGCTCGTCACCATGCTCGGCTTAGTTGAGCAAACGATCGTTGGGGTGCAGGATCGAGGCAGCTGATTAGCCAACCATGGCCCCACAGGTCATTTCACCAATCCCTCTCTATTCTTGTTAGGTTGCAGCTGTCGTGGAAAGACAACAACCACATCCTCCAACTGCCTCTCATCCTCTGCAAATTTTGCAGGAGCTGCTTCTTCTTGCAAATTTCCCGGTGACCACCCAGATGGCCATTGCAGGAGCTGCTTCTTCTTCTTGCAAATTTCCCGGTGACCACCCAGATGGCCAGAGGTGGGGGAACTAACTGGCCGGGTCCTCAGGGACGGCTTATGGTGTATGGTTTTCACCGGAAAGGGGATATTTCCCCTCATCCCTTCTACTGTAATCCTAGAAAATTCCCCAGGCCATTTTCCTTTCGTATGAATCCCATGAATCCTTTTGTAAAAAACCAAAAACAGTTCCCTTTGTGTGCATCTTCCGTAGAAAATTAAGAACACATGAATCTTTTTGAACATGATTCCCACAGACGGCGCCAGTGTTGAGGTTAATTCGCCGCAGCCCGGAAGTACAACACCCCTTCCGGGAGGGTTTCATGGCTATGTGGTGATAATAAAATATAAACAATGATTTTTACGTGGAAACCCAAAAAGGGAGAAAACCACGGGACTGTTTAGGCTAATGTCCAAGCCCTCTCATTCTCATCAATCCCTCCTCACCATTACAATGTACAAGCTTGAGCCTTGGTAGCCATTAATGGAGCTCCAAGCCCTAGAGAGAAGTGGGGTGTGGGGAAGAAGAGAAAAAAAGTCCCTAAACATTGTGGGAAAGCCTCTATTTATAGGGGAAAGGGGGAGGGTTCATTTCTACCCTAATGGTCCAAAGTGGACCAAAACGGGCCCAAAGGCCAAAACAAGCGTGAAAAGCTGAAAACGGCCCTCGTCGATTGGGCTCTGACCCAGGGTCATGGGTTGGACTTATGAACAGTAATAGGCCGGGATGATATATCCCAACACTTCCGAAGGCCTGGTAATTTGTTCCTCCTTTTGCGTTGTTTGACAGCGTTATGAAAGAAACGAGAATTGATGTCCCCTTCCTTCAACCAGAACTCTTTGGCTCTCTGCTTCTAGAACAAGTTTTCCTTTTCCATCAATATTTGTAACACCGTCCGAACTTTCAAGAACTCCATGACATTGGTGCGATCTTCCTTTCCCCGCAACCAATCCAAACGCTTCTTACAGGCCAAAATATGATGTCTGAAACCCCATTTCCTTCCCCTGTCCCATCGCATAAGAGCATCCCCGCAAAAGGAAATTCGTTCGCTAACAGTCATGGTGGCTGCCCCCCCCCCCCCCCCCCAACTATTAGAGACCACCAGCCTACACTCCTCTTCCTTTATCCAATTGTTTTCGAATTTGAACCTCTTTTTCCGGATGCTTGGGTTAAACACCCTCAATCTCACAACTAGAGTCATATGGTCGCTAGCCGGAGCTTCAACCGAACTTGCCTGAGCTTACATAAACATATCCTACCACATATCATTGACGAGAATACGATCAAGTTTTTCCTCCATCCAGTAATTTGTGCCCTTTCCCCGGTCCCACGTCCATTGATACCCGGAGAACGGAAAATCCTGCAGGCCACAAGTGTGGACAGCCTCCTGAAAACCCCGGACTCGCCAGGGGGTGTGGAATTCTACCTTTCTTGTCCGAATTGAACAAAATGTCATTAAAATCCCCAATCATCATCCAAGGCCCGCTTCTCCCCATCGCCAGCTCCTCCATCAACGCCCAGGATTCTCTCTTTCGACGTGTTTCCGGGAAGCCATAAAACTCAGTTAGTCTCCAAGGTGCTTCATTATCTTGCATTTTAATTTGACAATCGATGAAAGTTCTGCCCTCCTGCCGAACATGTACTTCAACGTCGTCTCTCCAGCCTAATGCCAAACCACCGCTCGTCCCATCGCTATCGACCCCTGAAGCCTCGTAGAAGCCTTGAGAGCGCAGTAATTCTTTCGCCCTGAGGCAGCGAACCTTTGTTTCCATCAGAAATACAATTGACGGACGATGGCTATGAATCAGGTCTGCTAAACACTGTATCGTAGCCGGATTGTCCAGTCCCCTGCAATTCCAGCTTAATACGCTCATGGAATCCCAGCAACCTGCAGACTAAGACGTTGAAGCCTCCTCCATCGGGTGGATTGCACCACCGAATTAACGACTTCAGATGAACAAAAAGCCACCGCCTGACTCCACGCATTTCCTTAGCTGGACCAGCCACGCCGTCGGAAAACTCCCTAGGAAAACCCTAGACTTGACCGCCCTTACTGAATTCTCCTTGCTTTAGTTAATTTTTTATATTAAAAATTGTAATTAATATGTGTGTTTCGTAATAATGAAGGTTGCAACTCTAAATTATCTTTAAGCATTGCATGTTAAGAAAGGAGCAAGATATTAATGATAAAAATAATACCTGTGTGTTAATGTTTAAAAGAGCGTGGCTTATCAATAATAAAAAGTGTGGCCAATTGATAAAAAAATGTTGCCTAAAGTACATGCATAAATGTTACGTAATACAAATTAATGTTGCAAAAGTAAATGATAAATATGTTACATAAACATAAAAAGTGTTGCTTAAAGCTGTGAGTTTTAGTGTTGCATTTTATTCTAAAAAGTGTTGCATAAGATGTTGGTTAATGTGTTGTAGAATAGTGTTGCATTTGTTATACTTATGTAACATTTCTACTAGATGTTACATATCATAACAAAAAGTGTTGCATATAACTTTATGCAACGAGACCTGAAGTAACACACACAAAAATGTTACCTAAGCCTTTTGCAACACATTAACTATCTACTGTAACATATTTAGAGCGTTACAAAGGGTCATTTTTGTTGTAGTGTTCTTTTATAATTCTAAATTATAAAATAAATAACCATCTTTATTTAATTAAAAAATACATCTTAATGAAGTATAATAAATACTACCTCCGTTCTTAAATAAATGCAACACTTTGACTTTTACACTATTCACATGTTCTACTTTGACTACGTTTTATTTATTAATGTAATAATATTATTTTATGAAAAAAATATTGTTAAACTTGTCTCATTGTAAATTTTCATAATCTAATTTTTTAAAATTTTTTACTAATACAAAATCATTTATATTAATTGTCAAAGTTGTGTCTCAGCAAGTGTGAAATGTTGACCGTTGCATTTATTTAAGAACGGAGGAAGTATAATTTATTACACTTAATTAATTATATCAAATAGAACTCTCCTTCAACATCATGAAACCAAACGGATTAGATTTGAGTAGGTTGAAAAAAGACATACAACCTTGGCAGGAACATTAAATATAATTTAGTCTAACTAATATTTAATCCATTTTCAGTGTTACGAATTAAACATTACTTAATTTAATTAGCCTTGCTAGAAAAAAGGACTTTTAGCAACAAAATTTATGGTCGTTATAGGCCCGAAAGTTTGTCGTTTAAACTTTTAACGGCCATTTTTTTCTTGTCGTCAAGTGGTTGTTACAGGTTCCCTCGTTATTGGTTTTAACGACAAAGTTTGTCGTTAATAATTAACGACAACACAATATTCATCGTTACTTATTAACGACAAAAAACTAACTTGTCGTTACATAATAACGACAACATAATTCGTCATTGTACTCCAAAAAACAAAACAATATTTAACTGTTATTCGTTTTATAGTTTACAAGTTACAACGTTACATTTTAGACTTAAGATTGAAGAATTATACAAAGCACAATATGAAAACAATAATCTTTTTTAGACTCATAGATTGTTTAACAAATTGGAAAAAGAATAATAACTAGTATAAATTTTATTTATCACGATAATTACAATTAGAAACAATAATCATCCATAGATACACTACTACATTTTCGAGTCTTTGGTAACATCGGAATTCATTACATTTGTTCCACAAAACTGTTACAGTTGACTTATTGTAATATTTTCGCGTTGTTACATTCGCTCGCGTTGCATTTGCTCTAATGTAACGGCTTGTAACGAAATTTATGATCAATTGTAATGGTCCTCACAAGATGCCATAAATGTTACAACTTGTCGAGTACAAATGTAACGGTATGTAACATGCACACTGGTAACGGTTTTGAAAATATGTTGTCCCAGATTAATTGTGTAATGTAACATTTTTGAAAATACATTGGTCCTTGTTAACTATGTAATGTAACGGTATATATATTTGCACACATGCAGTCAGCATGTTTTTACACACCTATATATAACAATGAATGTAACTAGCTGTCCATTTAATTATAATTACATACTAAAGTGACATGAGTTTGATAATTAATAAGTAGCAAAATATTGAACATCATGTTCACAAAGCAAAAGATTGTTTATCACTACTACTAGGAGAAGCTCAAGTCAGTCATGGGTATGCATCATTCATCATTTGATTCTGTACCATCTTCATCCTCATGCGAATCCCTCACCTGTAAACAAATATTTCAAATAATTAAGCACTCGTGAGTAAGCTTTAATGGCCAACATAACCTAAGAACTGCATGTTACGGTAACTCTAAAATGCTCAAAGCCTTTGATATAGTACAGTTTATTTAAGAAAAAATGATGAAACAACCTGGAGGCACCTTACAATCAAGAGAGTGTTATCATGTTGAGTACATAGTACAGAGAACAAAGAACTGCCTCATGTGTGAAAGTAAATGACTATACATCCTAACAAACATTTTAACTAACATCTAGTGTTTTTTAGGAAACTTACAGTTTGTTCAAGACCTTCTTGAATCTCATAGTTAACTTTCTCTTGGAACCAATCAATGAAATCTTTGTTATGGTTCTGGAGGGAGTCCCATCTTCTTTTATTTCGACTAGTAAGAGACGTCTTGTGTTCATTGTATTGTAAAAACACTCTTATTGTTAGTAAAAAAAATATATGAAAAAATGTATAATAAAAAATAACAATAGATCTTACTTGATGTATTTCTCAATCTCTTCACTCTCTCAGTTATACATATTAGGCTTCCTCTTTCATTCTATTAGGAATAATACATATTAATCTCTCTCATTATAATTTCTCTTCAATTTCTTAATGTATAATACTTCAACAACTATTAGGTTGTGGTTAATACATATTATTCTTTGTCATTTATACCATTTTATTTCTTTTTCAGTGTAATCAAATGCATTCCTCTTTCTTGGCAATAGGACATGTGCTCAAAAAGACATTGTTAACGCTGGCAGTTGGTTTTTATTGGCCACAAACAAGCAAATTCTTAAAATTGATATTTTACTTGACGGTAAACACTCAAATTGATATAAGAGCATGAGGTACCTTGACCTTAAGCCTATATAAGGTGAAGAAGTCCATATTTTATCCATGTCGGATACTTTTATTAAAATTGTTATTTTACTTGACAGTAAACACTCAAATTTTCATGAACTCATTGTGCTTAACAGTATATTATTTGGTTCATAGTCTGCATTTAGTAAGAACATTATACGGATTATGACTCAGAATCTTAGATCACTTCATAAAGCACTCCATGTTGCAACCTTTAGATTGCATAGTTATATACAAAATAAGTCATTTGTGAAATGCACTGAGTATCAAACAAAAGAGAAATTGACCATCAAAGCTAAAATGAATAGTTTAATAATAAATAAATGCAGAGTATAGTATAACTAGTAGGCTGTGGCTAATACAGATTATAAAATGCAAAGTCCTTTATCTAACC